GGATATGACAAGTGGGAGCATATGATGGAATACACTGTGTGGAAAATCTTGAATAAAGAATGGGGAAATTATCAGGATATTACCATCTGGTCAACGTTTTCATAAGCATGGAAAATCACCATTTTTCATGGGTATTAAATCATCGAACTGAATGGCCATGTTCAATAGCTATGTTAGTTTACCAAGATATGGGGATGTAGAGATTTTTGCCCAGATTGTTGTTGGATGTTTAGGAAAGTATTCCAAAAGACATGGGTGTTTTTTTTCTTGATGGATTTAGCGGAGTACTTAGATTTGCCAGAATTAGCTTAGTCAGTAAGCGGAAATAATAGCCCCTCACAACTGGGATATACCGAGATATGCCCCAGTCACTAACATTTACAAAAACACCTAATCCAACATCTAAGCTGGGCAATGTCTTGCGCAGTCGGTAGAACCACTGCGACGGTCCTAGTCCGTTTTAGTTTCTGTTTCTGGGTTGCAAACCTGTGAATATTTCAGACCTAAGTTTGACATTTGGGGTTTGGCATAAACTGCAAAACGGTTGAATTTGATTAGGCGTTTTTAAAAAATAAATAATAAGTATAACCCCAAATTCCTGAGCAAACTCCCAGCGACATGGACGCTTAATATCTATTTGCAACTGCAGGAGATTGCAGGAGACTGTCCGAGAACGGTGCTTGTCTTAGTAGGAATGGTACTCGTATGGAATGGTAACGTTTTGCTACAGACATGACATTATCATGTGTATATATATATAGATGGTTATATATATATACGTACAGTCATATACTTACATATGTGTATGTATAAGTTAGCATATATGCACATGTATATCTTGCACATGAACACACCCCTGTATCCATGTGCATTTTTGAATATGCACAGTCCGCGTGACCTTCCGAAAGAATGCGACATTTCCTCACCACGTGGGGACTCCGAAGGACCTGTTGACAGAGCCTTCCTTGTCCTTGTCCATTCACAGCCCGGAGCCGCCTGAGGTGGGCGGTAACAAAACACGGGCCATTTCAGGAACCGATTTATTGGAGGTGCCTATACGTTTTAGGGCGGCAATATCCCCAGAAAATCCACATAGTACAGTAGTACAGTACCACCATTGGTCCTGAAAGTCCCACTCATCTACTATCTATGTATCTATCTATATATGCATATGTATTTCTTCATTTATATCTACCTTCAATATATATACACATATTTATATATGTGTGTGTGTTTTTTAATAGCGCACACACAGATTTGCATAGACGATATGATGCGTGCTCTTTGTGCCGTTGTCACCGGGTATTTCACTTCTTTCGCTTTCGCAGGCGATGAAATCTCCGGCCTTGCCACGTGCAGCTTTGAGGCGTGATTTGATATCTATGGGTCAAAATCTACGATGGTTTGAAACATCCATGGAACAACTATTTTGTATAATGGTATAACCAATTAATAACCATTATATTAACCATTATATCAATCATTATATTAACCATTATATCAACCATTATATTAACCATTATATTAACAATTGTTATCATTGGTATAATTGGTATAATGGCTAATATACTGGCTAATAATGGTTAATATGATGGTTATATCATGGTTATATAATGGTGGTTAATATAATGGCTGGTTGGTGGTTTCAAACATGGCTTTTATTTTCTATAATATATGGGATGTCATCCTTCCCATTGACGAACTCATATTTTTCAAGATGCTTAAAACCACCAACCAGTTTTAATGATCACCAGGGTGCCAGGGCTTTGATATCAATATCAAACTCATCCACGATGTTGGAAGTGTTCTAGCTTTGCTGGTGAGGTAGTAAGACATAGTCATCCATCTATAGATACATCCAATATCTAGTTGCTTGAAACTCCTCTGTACAGGGACATCATGAAGTAGAAGAGATCCCAAGTTTGCATGCAAAATTGGAAAACTGTTTACTGTAGTTCCATCTACTTTAGACATCCTTTTCACAAATACCGAGCCGCCGTAGATATAGCAGTCGCTTTGTAACACTAGGACTAGTGACTAGGACTTATGGTAGATATATATATATATGTATATATAATTCGGTGTCCACATCCAACATGAACAATCTGAGATGAATTTGGTTGATATTGGGGTCAACTCATTCTGAAACGATGTTTAATCAACATCGAACATTTTTGGGGTTTACTGCTGTTTCACAACCTCATTTACTTAGTAACTTAGCTGTTACCCTTAGGTAGTCAATACGGTGGCAATTGAACATCCAGCAGTTCTAGATGAATGTCCGCCTTTTTTTCCATCTGAAAAACCTCTATTCATAGGGTATTTTACATGGCCCTGTCTGATTCCCAGGTACAAACCATGTCTGTTTTCAGTGCCAGGCCTCCTCGTCCCGCAGCCACCTTGCCGACAACAGCGACGCCCACGGGGCCGCACCGAAGCTTTGGGGGTTTGATGCAGCAAAGCACCTTGGATGAATCGCGAGGATGTCGGTGGTTGCTGCGTTTTGAAAAGTTTTGAACGTACATGCCCATGCTGGATGTTTTAGGGATTACTAATTACTATTTTATGACCCATAGGATCCATGTATGCTATATATGGTAACATTTACCATCAATATATATATATATATATATATATATATATATAATACCCCCAATGTTAGCATATATACCAGCACCATGGATTCCATGGATCCTATGGGTGATTGTTTTGGGCTTTAAAATCTTGATTTGACTTTCCAATCTTGTCCATTCCGTAGGTTTTTTTGCCGAGATTTGGTGAAATCACCAACCGGTGAAAATCTTGCAGCCATCGTTCACTCGTTGGGGATTTGGAGAAACCGCGTCGTCTATTTTTCTTCAAACCAGCCAGATATCCATTGATTCATGGACCCAGGAAAGATCCATCTCTATGTTCAGATGTTTGCTGAGTTTTCCGAATACGACTGATTGCATGGTTTTTTGTTGGCAGTCCATGGCCAGTTCGTATATGGTTTCACCCCTCCCCGTCCCGAGTAAGAGATATGTAGAATCCTGTAGACCCTGTGAGCAGTGCCCAAAACTCATTGTCTGCTTGGTGGTTTGGAACATGAATTATATTTTTCCATTCAGTTGGGAATTTCATCATCCCAACTGACGAACTCATATTTTTCAGAGGGGTATAAACTACCACCAACCAGTGCTTGGGGATTGTGTGGGATAATATTGACTGGTTCGATAATGATGACATTCTCCCAGCATTTTCCTGTCCAAGATAGAGATTCCTGATGATTTCAGAGGGGTATAAACTACCACCAACCAGTGCTTGGGGATTGTGTGGGGTAATATTGACTGGTTCGATAATGATGACATTCTCCCAGCATTTTCCTGTCCAAGATAGAGATTCCTGATGATTTCAGAGGGGTATAAACTACCACCAACCAGATAATGAATGGAATTATAATGGGAATAGCGTGGGCAACGGCTGTTTTTACCCTGCGCTCGCATCAACCAGTGAGTCGCCCAAGCAAGGTCCAGCGTCAAAGCCTCGTCGACCAGGTGGCACTTTTATGGACCGATAGGCCTTGGTTTCTTGTAGCATATAGTCATTTTAGCACCTAAGTCTTAGGTAATAAACAAATATAAACAATAGTTAACTATAGTTCGCTATAGTTGACTCATACAATATTTAACACCTTAATATTACTATAGACAATTGGTATCTTATTATTACTATAATATATATATATATGTATTAATTGGCACCTTGTTTGGGCAGATAAACCATAGTCTTATTCTTGGTAAGAATACAATAACATATCTGCAAGGTGGTAAACAGCTACATGTTCTTACTTTGATTTGTTTATTCTTCTATGAACCCTGCAGAGATCGCACGTCATTCTTTGAACTCAGCAAAGACGGGTGCAATACGTTGCCACTACAGGCTATGTACCACGCAATCAGGTCAATGAAATCTAGCGCACATATTACATTGATGCTCGGCACTACTACCACACAATAACTATCTACTCGCCAACCAATCCCTTGTTTTGGCGTATATAGATTTGTGAGTTATTCACCCTTACCATTCACTTTATAGATTACAAATAGGAATATTGACTAACCAATCGTACAAACATATCCGACCAGCCAATTGCAATGTGAAAATCACCCTGTGTGTTCGGCCAGGTGCAAGGAGAAAGGACTTTGAGGAATTGGGACCCAGGCAGGGTCGACATGGAAACCATGCCGCCAAACATTGGATCTGACTTCAGCAAACGCATGTCAGCATGTGTGCAGCATTTTTATTGGCACGTGCCTTGAAGAAACCCATGTGAGTTTTGCAGGTGTCCGAATGGCAAGCCCATGACACGAGAACTCATGATGAAGGAGGCGACATTGCGCTTGTGGGAAGCGTCGCGACTGTGAGATGCTTTTGTGTATTCTCAGTGTGGGATGGTTCAAACAATTGTATCCCATAATGTTGTAGGCCAACATGTCGTTGGTTTTGTAAATGAACACCTTAAAGAAAATCACAGACAATATTTAGCCACAACATATTCACGAGTTTCTGCATGTGTGTTTTTTTCTATTTGTTCTAAGATTAACCGCTGGTTATTCAACATAGCCATGGTATAGATGGCCCATAGAAATAGATGGTTCACCTATTAATAGCATGGTGATTTTCCATGGCTAACTGTTAGTCATAACCAGATGGTAGATAATCATGTAATATTGGTATTCCACATGTTTTCAGAATTTGAGGTCATCACTCAAAACCTATGGCTAAGATTAGATACGTGTGATAGTCTTGTGCTGTTGGGCAAGTTGCGGCCAACTCTCTCAGTGCCTTGGTCGTTTTTTCGATCGCTGTGGGCTGATTGAGGTCAAGTTGAATCCGTGAACCGATGGTCAAATCGGGTGGGTACTTTCATACTTTTAAACGTTAAATAGGGACATGTCCTAACCAGCAAAAAACAATTGTTGTTTGCATGTTGTATGAGATTGGCCATATTGTCAAGCATGGTTTAAGTCCGTCCATTCTGCTTGGCTTTTCCAATGGTATTGTGTAAGTTAGTCGTTGTATACCGACTGTTTAAGGCTTAAGGGAAAATCCCCTGAATCTGAGAAAAGAGATTGGTCCATGGATTTGTAAGGAAAATAAAGCATCGCAATTGGACATCCCCCATAAATGAAGATTTCAATGGGGAAATCAACTATAAATGGAAGATGTTCCATTGCCACGTTTGCTTGCTGGAGGGTAGCCATGGAATTGGTCAAGCCTAAGCCTATCAGTTTCCAGGGCCAGAAGCGTCGAGAAGATGGTTCCAGAACCCCAACATTGCGACGTCTTCTTTCCAGAGGCTTCAAGTGGCGGAAGACCAAGATGGGTTGGAAGAGTCATCCCAACAGACATCTGGTTGGTGGTTTGGAACATGTTTTTTTCCATATCTTGGTAATTTCATCATCCCAACTGACAAACTCATGTTTTTCAGAGGGATAGGGCTCAACCACCAACCAGACATGGTTGTTATAGGCTATGTATGGCGCCACCTAAAACCTTCCATTTGTTTCAACATGCATTGCCAACGCTTGGGGCTTCAAAAAAGTTATGGTCCCAGTGGTACCAGCAACTGGTGCAGCAAGGATGCTTTTTATCGGATTCTGTCCGATGGTCTTACCCAGTTGCCCTCTACATATTCAAAGAGCGGGAAAAACAGCATTAGATGATAAGCGTATTTTTTTTGCGTTCAGTTTCCATTGTTAGGAACAAGTACATCAAAATCATCAAAGTACCACAAAACAATGGAAACTGGAACCTGAAAACTCACAATTCCCATATGCTCCATGGTGCTGGAATATTTGTCAACATGTGCCCTAAAAATCACCCAGTTTTGTAGGTGAATATACCAGCACCATGGAGCATCTGGGAATTATAGTTATACCTGGTTGGTGGTTTCAACCCCTCTGAAACATATGACTTCGTCAGTTGGGATGATGATATATTCCCAACTGAATGGAAAAATAACACATGTTCCAAAGCACCAACCAGATACTGTATGCTAACAATGGAAACTTCTGCCATTGACCCTGACCGTCGCCAGGCAGCTCTTCCCCTCCCAGTGGCGCAGACACGCCCAGTGGGGGAGCTTGGCGATGCGGCGATGGACCTGGTGGCGGAGATTCAGGGAATCTGGGGATCTTCAAAGCTTGGTTGGTATACCCCACCTATATATATAATATATATATATATAATATATATATAATAGATATATATATAATATAATATAGATTTATATATATATATATGGGTAAATTATAACGACCTCACTGCGACCTCACTGGAAATCATGGTTAATAAAGGGAAATCATCCCCAAATGGAGGTTAGTGAAATATTATAATTTACCCAGATATATGCTGAAACTAACCTACTGCAACCTGCACCACCACGTAGTCTTGCTGATCAATAGTTAATTAATAGAATAACTTAATGTGGTGAATCAAGTAACTAGCTATATTAATACTGGTTGGTGGTTTGGAACATTTTTTTTGTTCCATTTCATATATGGGATGTTATCCTTCCCATCGACGAACTCATATTTTTCAAGATGGTTATTGCACCACCAACCAGTACATATATATATATTCCTGGACCTTCACAGTTCCAACCGGACAGTTTTTTTGGTACTTTTGAAAGTCCAGCTATATATATATACACACATGTAGGACCATTTGTCATGTTTGTTTTCCATACCTTGGGGTTTCGTCAAGGAAATAAAGATATCAAGTGGTCCTTCAAGTGTATATGTATTTATTTATTTATTTATGGGTCATAGATCTGCCCGAATTATAGCGACGTCACCCGACGTCACCTCATAAATCGACCTAAGCCATTGAATTAAGGGTTTTGAATCGTGCTCACCATTGATTCCCCGCTGCTGCTGGAAAGGACTGGCTGACGTATTTTTCCAAGCAACTGGAAAGGTAGAAGAGAAGTGTGGTAAGCTAGCAGCAATAGACCCACAAAAAGAAAGGCTCTACCACCAAGTCTGACTTCACCCTCTCATCAGTTTTTCATTCTTGGGATAGTTTTGCTATAGCTTGTAAATCACGTTGGGATGCATTTATTAATATACACTTATTTTTCCATGGGTCGAGTTGTTTTTGTCTGTGTTTCACAACATTAGTGTATAAAAACCACTAAATCAACATGTTCCTATCGGGACAACGTCTGTTGAGAAGCCAGCTAGATCAACAACCGGATCTAGGGGGTATACACCAACATTTTTTTTTGACAAATCCAGGTGACAAAAAAAAATGCACAGATTTGACGTGGCATCATGACAATTCCGATTGGGATTGTTGAAGAACATATGCGAACATGCGAACATGCCGTCATTTGACATGAAAGCTGGTTGGTGGTTTGGAACATGAATGGATTATGACTTTCCATTCAGTTGGGAATTTCATCATTCCAACTGACGAACTCCCTCAAGTTGTTGGATGTTCGCCCTGGAGATGATTCTCCCAGTTGACTCCCCAGATGGATCAAGGCAATGAGTTCCGAAAACATGAGAAACCGCGTTTCCTGGTTTCTTGGTTTCTTGGTTTATACACCTCATGAACTAGTTCGATATAACTGATATAACCCAAGAAACCATAGTGTTTCAGGTTGTAAGTTATAAGCCAACATGGTTTCTTGGTGATCTCCCCAAAAAAAACTCGGAGGATTCCCCCGGAAAACTCACCACGTCACAGCCGCTCAACGGTGGCCGGCCTGAGGCGGCTTGCTTGGGAGGTGCGGAGATGAAATCGTGATGGATATGAAGTGTGATTTTGTTTCCCATTTACAGATGATTGTCCCAGCTATAAACCTCCATTTATATAGAATGGATTTTCCAGTTCGCTATGTTAAATACAGTAACCAGATGGTAACTATTTCTAATTATTATGTATGTGTAGTAGTTCTATGATAATGCATGATGATATATTAATAGATATGAATAGCATTATCAATTATTATTGCTATTAGTATATATGATTCCATATGTAAGTGTATATACAAACATATATATATATATAATGTGTGTAACTGTATGTTTGTCATTACATTAGCTCTCTTAAAAGGAGCATGGATTTGATTATTCCCACAGCTTCAGTCTTTGGAATCCGACCAAGGTTGACAGTGATAAGAGATTTGCAAACAACAGCCGGACCGGTATTTGGAATGGTACACTAACATGCGTGTGTAGGGGGGTATGTGCATGAATGTCTCAAACAAGATTTGCCCAGCGAACCAAATCATCCAAATCCAACTAAAACTTGGATATATGTTGCTCTCACAGGTCCCCGCAAAACATCCTTGTGACTCAGTTGAGGATTGGTTGCGTGCTGTTGACAACGCCCAATCACTGCAGGATGAAGCAAAAACTTTTGCCCAGCCGAGTTTCTCACCAGCATGGTGGATGAACCACTCGGGACTGATTTTCTTCTATCTGGAAGCCAGGTACATTACAAAAAACATCTTGGGAATTTGAGTTTGAAACTTAAAATTGCAGTTCCAACATTAGTCAGCAAACATGAAAGTTATCTGGATTCCATATGGCCTTGTGTGGGATGGGTGTGTAACGGTGTGTATGAGATATTCACATATATATATATACATACATATATATTAACACATATTGACGTACAGGAATAGTGATTAAACTTGCCTAAAGCGAAAAGGTGTAAACAGGACATAGAAGGAAGCCTGTACCCGAACCATGTTTCTGATAATTAGAGAATGGATCCAAACCTTTGCTGCGTGGAATTCACAAGTTTAGTTCTGACGGTTCTGACAGTCCACTCCCAATTTGTGTTGCTCAAACTCCAATATTTGATGATTTATATTATATATTCCATTTAAATTTTGACATATGTGTCACGTTGAAAAGCTGGCTTAGTTTCCCATACTGGAGGATGGTCATGAATCGATAAATTGTGGGGGTTTAATATCCGCTATAAAGATCTCCAATCCATTTCAAATTATACTAAATCCATCTAAATCCACTTAAATTCCATCATGTTTACATCAGATGGATGGCAATCATGGCCATGCCCCAATAAATAGGGAGTTATATATATATATAGATAGTTTGGAGTTAAATATCCTAAACAAATAGTAATTGTTAGTTATATATATATACGTATACAATTATATATATATTGTATATATATATATACATATACATAGTGTATATATATATATATTGTGTATACATATAATAGATAGTGGGAGTTAAATACCAATTAAATACTGTAGTTGTTCACCAAATCGCATCTCCCGAGGCGCCCACCCCGAGTCCGGCGAGCCGGGGTCGCGGTCCTGGTCGACGCTTGTTTTTGTTTACTGCTGCTAAATGTAGGGGAATGGGGAATGATCCACAATATGTATATATATAATATATATATATATATAATCTATACATAATATATATATATATATTAAATATTATATATACATATTATATATATGTGCATTTACATACATATGTATATATATATATGTGACTATACATGTAGGTATAATAAGATTAATAAGCATGAACAATCATCCCATTCCCCCATTCCCTAAGCATCAGTAAGTTCGGTCACCTAAGATATAGCTATGGAACACATGTTCAAAGCCACGGGCCATTTGAGCCGAAGCAACAAGGGACGTTTCACCTAAAGGGCTTTAAGCCATAACAAGGCTTCAAGCTGCAAACAAAGATCAAACGGGAACATCTCCACAAGGAGAGAATATGAAGTTGGTTTTGTCGTGGGATATAGCCTATGATATATATATATATATACAGAATTGGACAGAAACATAATGCCATAGACACAGTATAACAAACCCTCAACTGACAATTTTAATCAGCAGTATTGGTTCTATGTCCATATTTTAGTCATCTGGTCATTTTATGCAGAGTTCAATCAGATTTGGTTGAGCTCGATAGCAGTTTATTTAAGGGCACGGTCAGTACTTAAGTTGCCTAAGACCCCCTCACGATTCTACCTTCGTCATTTTGTAGATGGCACATGATCGAAACATCCAAGAATCCACTGTCCCCAACACATCCAAATACATATACCCTCTGGTTATTTAACATAGCCATGGAAAATCCCTTTTAGATGGAGGTTTTCATGGGAAAATCATCTATAAATGGGCCATTTTCCATGGCTATGTTAAATAACCAGAGGGTATATATATATCACCTGACCATCCTTTTAAATGACTTGCTGATCTTGCACCAAGAAACGGAGAGACGTTTTGGATTCCGCGTGTTCCGAAAAAATCCCCCAGGAGATTTTGGTGGTGGAGATCGCTTTGGTGTTGTGAAATCTTCGAAGGTGGGAGTTTCCCACGCTGCAATCAGATTGGGTTTGTCCAAAAAGTGATATCCATGGATACCCTTATATGGCCATTTTTTTAACGATGATATGATGATCAACCATGGGATTTGGTATCCTATTTTCAGACCCATGGGATTTTTATGGATTTTTAGCCTTTTTGGACAGTCTTGAACAGAGGTGGGCACTGAATAGCTCGCAAACTCCAGGTCCAAAAATTATATTTCTTTCCGTCATGTTATGAGTTTGTTTCCTTATAAAATTATGGATTACCCGGGTGATGTGTGAGATGATTGGGACTCACCGTGGGAAGACCACTCAAAAACGTTTCTTTTTTGCCCAATCGCCCTCAGTCACTGGTTGACTTTTCATCGATGCGGGATGGTGGGAGAAGATTTCCTGATGTTATTTGATTCTCTGATGTATCACTGAATGGCGTTGAATTGCAGAATATACAAGGTGGTGCCCCCTAGTTAGAAGTTTGTTGGTTTATAAACCCCATGAATACTAGTTCGTTATATCTACCATAAACCATAGTTATTGGAGTTATTAACCAACTTAGCTAACTATGGGGCACCACCTTGTAGATCATGTAAACATACATAATGACTGGAATCTCCCAATGTTAATTGTTGAACAGCAATGATACGCCTTTTTTTTTGTTTTTTGCTACTCAACCCACGTTCGTCGTACTCCCATGGTGTTGCAAGGAGTGACCCAGACAGCTAGGCGCCACGGATTTTTCAGCGGGTGGAAGGTCTGCCGTGACACTCATGGGTAAAATGGATCCTCTCCAATAAAATGAAGGAATTAACTCATTAAACCATGGATATGGAGGTTGGTTTCCCAAATAGGGGACACAAAAAAAAAAAATCAAACTTAATTATATCATATATCCACTGGTTGGTGGTTTGGAACATGAATTTCATGACTTTCCATTCAGTTGGGAATAATCATCCCAACTGACGAAGTCATATTTTTCAGAGGGGTAGGTATACCACCAACCAGTATTTATATAACCATCAACTATATAGGGATTTACCTTAAGGTGCTATTCAAACACTTGGGGTAAAGTGCCAATTTGTAGCTGTAATACTGAGGTGTTGTGTATTGCTCAGATAATCCGAGTGTGTACACCCAACTTCCCATAGTTGAACAGGTCTTTGTTCCCTTATGCTCCCTTGTTCTTGAAAATGTCAGGGCAGCGATCGGTGGAGATCTTGTACAGTCCACTTGCAACGGCTCCCGTGCATGAACTTGGCAGCTGCCATGATCAAAACATAGCGCCTGCCAGGGAAGGCAGGAACTTCCTGACTTTCTCTGGAAGGTGCAGTAGCATCCCAATTGTTTTAGTTAGGAGATGTTAGGAGCTGAGCGCAGTGGACCGGTTGTTGTATACAAAAACGGCTATAGAATGTTTGGTCAGGGCTTGAGCTTACCACCAAAACATGGTATGTAAATTGATGTCCTACAAGGTGGTGCCCCATAGTTAGCTAAGTTGGTTGATAACTCCAATAACTATGGTTTATGGTAGATATAACGAACTAGTTAATGGGGTTTATAAACCAACAAACATAACTAGGGGGCACCACCTTGTAGATGTTCGCCTATTGCATTTTGCTGGTACATCAGCAACTGGTCGGGCAGCGACGCTTGCGACGCTTGCGCTAGCGTTTTTGCATGGCACGCTGGGACGATGAGGATGGCCACCACTGTGATCTGTTGTAACCCCACTGTTGGGGAAGGGAACCATAGATCCTCCAAGATTTTTTCAGAAAACACCTGATACAGTATGGTTTTAGGAATATGTTGGAAGTAATTCCCACAGGATTCCTATTGCATTATATTGCATATATAGAATTTCAGGATATTTCAAGGAGGTTTCATGCTTTGACCAGATGAATCTGAGTCTATCGTGTTTGTTTACTTTTCCACATGCAACCTAATTCAACTCAGGATTTTGGGGGGTAGCACGGGCCCCGGGCTACTTGGGATCCTTGACATCAACGATTTTGCAAACAAATCGCAGCCTGTTGGTAATTTCCAATCTTAGACCATCTTGTTTACTGTTGTCCGTTTTTACATAGGCCGATCTATCTAGTTCAGTGGCATTGATTGGGATGGATTGCTCACCCACCACCCAATGGATATCTATACCCAATGGATAGCTGATGTTTGCCCCTATGTTATATTGCTTGAGATTCGGATCTCCAAAGTGAACACTGTGATACTACTGTATGATCCTTTTCTATTATTTTCTTCTAATGACCTATGGCTTTAGAATACCTTTTTTGTTTTTCTGGTTCCACAGAGAGCTGTCGCCGTCCGCCACTTGGCCAAAAAGTCGCCCTCGTCGTTTCAAAAGGACCACGCTGCGCCCAGATTTCGGTGGAATCACACCACGGTGAAAAGCGTGGCCAAGAAGGCGAAGGTGGTGAAAAGACAGCGGCCATGAGGACGAACACGTTTTTGGGGTCGGGATTTTTTTATTTGTCTATTCCCATAGGATCCATGGTGCTGCTATATATGCTAACATGACTGGGGTATATTGATGGGATCCATGTTACCATATATAGCATACATGGATCCTATGGGATTGTTTTATTCATGTTATTCTGTTTCGGACAACTTTGAACCTTTTTTTAATCCGTGTCATGAAATCGTAAATGATTTGATTGTTCTTTTTCCCAATCTTATTGAGGTCCGGTCCTGGCTCTGGGTTCCAGATTTGCGTCACAAGGCCCCACGACTTCTCGCGACCACCCGCGCGAGTCCGGGACCACAGGTTTGTGTTCATTGCACCATTCAATTTTTCTTACCCTCTAGGACTCTAGGGTAAACATACAAAAAAACTATAGCTATTGAAAATGGCCCAGTCGAAATTTAGTTGATTTACCATGATTTACCCATTCATAGCATGGTGGATCTTTCCAGCTCGTGATGTAAACGTTTACCAAACATAGACGATGTGACCATGTGGAAAATCCATAGTTTCCCGTTCGGAAAATGATCGACGTTCACAACGGGATTTTCCACATCTATGTTAGTTTACAGGAGCCCTAATTTCTCAATCGAGACATTTCATGGGAAATGTATGGAAATGGGGGGTAACCACTGTAAAAAGAGGAAAAAGCAATGTCATAAACTCAAATGATCTGAACATACGAGATGAGTTTTCGAGTTTAAACAGTTAGGCTATGACATTTAATGTGTCATGTTATATCATGTTATATTATGGTATATGTTATTTAAATGATCATGATAGTATACATACATATAGATGTATGTGACAAGCCCGTCTATTCATTCTGGTGGCGGCGCACGCCAGCAAGAGTGGACAAAATTTCTGTGAGGACGCGCTCGTTTTTTACTTTTCTGGAAAAATCTAAAGTTTTAATATTGAATTATACAATTTTTCAATGTATTGATGCTTTGGAGTTTTGGAAGGTACAGGCTGAACGTTTCAGACATTTTCTGGACTTATGGTGACACACACACACACATCATTGAAGCGCGCCGCGCCGCCCCATTTCTGTGACAGCCCAACATGGGTTTCTATCTTCAGCCGTTTTGGGATCAGTTACTCTCCTTGCGCCCTCTTTCGGCATCCTTATCCAAGGCCGACGGTTTGCTTCGCACAGAGAACTCGTAAGCCCTATCACGGAATTTCCATCCATCAGTATCTGAAAAGGCATTCAATTCACGACGTTTTGACCATTACCTCCCTTGCAGGCTGCTATCACGTCATGGATCTCACGCCTCCTATCTCCGTGGGAAGCATGTTGGATGACAAGTTGTCTGAGCTGCTCGGAGTTCGGTCGGTCAAAACCCTGAATTCTTGAACTGCACCACTGATGGCTCCAATTTCCCATATTTCAAAGATGATCTAAGATGTACGGTATGTATACTTGGATGAACATTCATGGATACAAGATGATACAAGGTATGTGGGATTAGTTTTGTGTCTCTTTTTGGCATGTTTTCCCCTTCAACCAATTCTTGGAAGATAGTGATGAATTTGAAGTGTTCTGTCTTTGCGGGGGGGTATTATAAATCATCCAATCCCAGAATTGGTTGAAAAGAGATTTTTTCAGGAAAGCAACACAAAAAAGGGGTTTAAAGCGATAGTTTCCTACAGGTTTTTTCTTGCTTAAAGCAATTTATCGATACCCAGCCATTGGGGTCCTCAAATGTGCTATGCGGAAGTCGGAAAATCCACCAGGCTATGTGCTATGCCAGCAATAGTTCTGTGATTTCACCATGGGATTTTTCAGCCACTTTGATGACGGTAAAGTAATCACTTTGATGACAAGAGTTACCCTCTGGTTATGACTAACATAGCCATGGTTTTTCCATGGCCCATAGAAATAGATGGTTTACCTATGAGAAATGGGTGGATCTTCCATGGCAAAATGTTAAATAACCAGATGGTATGTTTCACAACAGCTAGATTCAAGTAATAGATAGTAATAGTGTGTTGATGAACCAACTATCAAATATATTCAAATATCTATTTTTCACCAGCAATCACTATGATTCAGTATGTATCAACTTAACTAAAGATTGCGGGTTTCATAGTGATACTTAAACAGTGTATTTTTTGGTTGAAGCGGTGAGAATGAATTTATCAACTATCAACTCAATCACATTAAATATCACTGTTCTTAAGTATCAACTATCAATATTGTTAAGTACCACCATCAACTATGCCTAACAATTAATAACTAGTTGTCAGTATCAACTATGAATTTAACTAAAAAATAATTATATATTATATTGTCAGTTATCAAGTATCAACTATAAACTATTGAATATCACTGTCAACTATTATTCATCATTCATCACTGTCCTAAAATATTAACCACTAATTGCAACACAGTGATCTCCAAGGACTTACATGTATTCAATATTATCAACTATGATCACTATCTGTAATAATAGCATATAATAGTGTCATATTACAGTACGTAATAGAATTGTGAATATCAACACTGAAAGCAAAAAAAATCAATTAGTGACATTACCATAGTATTGATAATAGTATAACTGTTCAATGAATATTATGATATACAGTGATATTATCAATTAAGCTATAAAATTGTATACCATAGTATTACTGCTAATAGTAATGAATAATCATCAACAATATACAACTATTCACTATTGTTATATTGAATTTTAGTCATATTACCATTAATATATGTATATATATATATATATTAATATTAGTTTTATTTTCATAGTATTAATAATAATATACCATAGTATATAGTATTTACCCATAGTATATGATAGTATATAATAGTGACATGTTACCATGGTTTATCATACGTAGTAATACAATCTACAACTATTGAACCATATACAACGATTCACTATTCTTATATTGAATTAGTTATGTTACCATTAATATCAGTTATATATAGTTATATTGCCATATCAATGGGAATTCCAGGATCCTAAAATGGAGGTACTGTACCATATAAGGCCATATTTTGCTGGGATATTCCCTTACATAGGCCTTACATAGGCCTTAATATCAGCTATATTACCATAGTAATGGATTATCAACTCTTCACTGTTCACATCAGGCTCTCGGATCGCCTGAAGCGTTGCGAGTCGCAGCTGCGCCGCAGCGAGACGGCGGCCGAGGCCAAGGCCGAGGAGTGGCCTGGCATGGCATTTTTGTTGATCGGATTTCACTGAGAAACATAGGAGAAGATAGGAACATATGGGATTTCATATGATTTAAGTAGGAAAATCTTGGAGTTAACTGGGAAACATGGAAACATGGGGATATGATATGATACAATATGATATGATATGATATAAAATGATACAAAATGATGTTACAACCCCAGTTGTCCTCTGGTACGCTAACATAGCTATGACAAAATGGAAAATCACCATCTTTAATAGGTAAATCATCGAACTAAATGGGCCATGACTTCTATAGCTTGAATTACCAGAACACAACCATCAAGAATGCTGGTATTGAAGCAGCACAAATAGTGAGCAAATAGTGAACATAGTGAAACAATGGGAATATGATAATGACAATGTTCACTATTACCACTGTTTCACTAGACAGTGAACATAGTGAACATAATATCAACATAGTGAGCAAATAGTGAACATAATATTACCATCTATGGTTGATATATCACTCATCAATCGGATTTTCCGGGATTGAACAACATATATATATATATATATATCTAGGATGTACCTAGCAAGAGCAGTGAACAACACATATCTAGCTGTGCAATGGAGATTCAACAACTCAAATGGGGATTTACCCTTTGGTAAACAACATATAGAGACTATAGAGATATGGAATTCTACCGGTGAAACCGGTGAAATCCTAGGACAGTGATCTATGGATGGTGGATGTTCCGACCCAATATCGGTCCTAAACTCATTTGCTCACCATATTTTCACACATGCATCCAGGAGCAAAACCACTTATTGTCTCAATAAGATAACCCCCAGTGATAAATCCATATCTTCAAGGCCATATGTTATCCTGAAACTACAAGGACATATAGGTTTGTTAAAGAAATTAATGCTATATAGTACACTCAAATACTGCCAAGCAACGTAGAGAAAGTGCAAGGGCATTTAAGGTTCACCGAAATGTCGGAGTCCATGTTCATCATCAAAAGGTTGACCTGGCAACCAAGGATCAAAATGATGAAAGACACCTTGGCAGGTGCAGGAAATGCTGGGAGATCTTTGGTGATGGTGGTGCATGGGAATTTCGATTCACTGGACTTCAATGGCAGGTTGAGTTTACCCGGCCTGGTAAACGTTTACATTAAACGAACTGGAAAGATCCACCATTTTCAATGGGTAAATCCACTATTTCTATGGGCCATTTTCAATAGCAGAATGTTCCCTGACACCACAAGTTGAACCATGGTCTTTGCCCCAATCAACGGCCCAAGAATGTGTGGGGATGATGTTTTTGCAGGCTGGAAAAATAGACCATCAACATCACCTAGAAACGATACATGGATATAAATGGACGTTTTAATGGGTTAATGGGAAAATTATCTATAAATGGTGGATTTCCACCGTAATGTTTGATCCCTAGAGCGTACACATTTTAAACTCGAGCAACACACGTTCTTCGTTTGAAGATTCCGACACAGTGTGGTAAGCTCAATGGGATTTATCGTCCGTTTAGCCACGCAGTCACCATTTCATTTCACCCCTAAGTGTGGAAATCTAAAACACAAAACATATGATATTGGGGATGTTACCACCCATTTCTGGCTAATATTGCTGATTACATGTGATTACAATGTTCAGAGTTGCTCCAGCCAATTATAGGCTGGCCGGTTTCAAACATTTTTTTATTTTCCATTTCATATATGGGATGTCATCCTTCCCATTGACTCATATTTTTCAAGATGGTTGTTGCACCACCAACCAGTAGGTATATATAATTCCCATAATGTGGATGATCCCCGTTGTATCTGCATGCCGTTGCTGTTGGGAGCATTGTCTGTTGCGTGGCTGGTCAGCTGCTGTCAGGTAACCGACTGGTTGGGTACTTTATACATCCATATAATGATATAAATTATTTATATATATAGAGCATTTGACGGATTTTCCATAACAGGAGTCAACAAAAACTAACCAACTACAGCACATCGACACATGGAGATTCATGATATGTTTCTCCATGGCAAGTTCTTATCTTATCTGGTTGGTGGATTCAAACATGTTTTATTTTCCGTTTTATATATGGGATAATCCTTCCCACTGACGAACTCATAATTTGTCAATATGGTTATTGCACCACCAAGCAGTTATTGTTTGATTGTTTTTGGGAGCTTTGGATATTTCAATCCACTAATGATCATGATTTGGTGCCAGAAACTATACTGGTTGGTGGTTTGGAACATTTGGATTATTTTCCATATATTGGGAATAATAACCCCAACTGACTTTCATATTTTTCAGAGGGGTAGGTATACCACCAACCAGATATTGATTATTAACCATATATTAACAGTATATTAACCACAATCGTAGGTTGTTGCACCACCAACCAGTTATAGAAACTATATATATATATATGTATGTCTCCATATATATATAAACTATATATTATATATATATAAACTATATATATAAACTATATATATATATATCCAAACTATATATATATATCCAATGTTTTGTTGTCGATCCAGGCAAGGCCGATGCCGAGGAGATCATCGCTCGGGTGGATGATCTCGCTCAGGCGATCCAGTTCGCCATGGAAGCCATGGTTTTGCCATGGCCCTAATCGAAATAGATGGGCCATGCCGTTCTTAACCCATAGGATCCATGGTGCTGGTATATATGCTAACATGACTGGGGTATATTGATGGGATCCATGTTACCATATATAGCGTACATGGATCCTATGGGAATAGAATGGTGAATCTTTCCATGGCTATGTGAAATAACCGGCAGTTATTTTTTTTTGTGAAAAATGATGGAAAAATGATGTGACAATGTCAAATTGAGGGAAATATGTTCAGCATCGGAGAGTAGTCAGCGGACATAGAAAATTTGAAGCATGAGCCAGCAAAACTTGCTGTGATTGAACAAATTTTGAGCCTAGGGATGAGTCAATTTTTACCAAACCGGATCAAGGAAATGTATGGTGAAGGTGTGTGGACGCTGTTTCGACATGTTTCGACTTTGTTTGCTGTTGATTGCTGCTATATGCTTCTATTTCGCACGTCCCTAGTGGAGGTGTTTTCCAGGAATTGTGTATGTGCAAGACACATGCACACACGATAGTGTAATACAAGCCTACATTATAATATATTACAATATATTACAAGTCAATTACTTGCATAATCATTCATACATGCATGTTCATTGTGGTACATGATGTACTTCAGAATACAGACTCTAATAATTTATATTTTTGTTTAATTATATATATACACATCATTATATATATACACATATTGTTATATATATATTGTTATATATATATATTGCTATATATATTGCTATATATATATACAATGTTCACATACTTTTCATGTTGTTCTTTCTCTTGAACCATGAATCGTTCCCCCTTGGTCGCACCAGGCTTTGCAGCGCAAGGCGGCTTAGTATAGCGGCTCCGGGGCGTTTTTTTTGGACGCCGCTATTGAAGCCATGGTCGCTACGTGTGATATATTCCTTGATTCCTTGATCTATTTTGAATATAAAATTATATATATACATATACATACAGCATATTTATATTTAAATATATTTAAATATATATATATATATCGTGTATATATATATATACATATACATATAATATAAGCAGCAGGTCAAAAGGTGTTCAAACAAATCTTACTTACCATATCATGTACTTTGAATATCACCTACTTACCATATAATGAGTACGTATTGAATGCCGTAGGGTAAACGTTCACATAGATCTGCGAAACCCATGGTTTCCCTAGGAACATATATATATATATATGTACAGTATGTATGTATATATATAATACAAATGGTGTTTTTGTTACACATCTATGTTAGTTCAACCTTTTTTTTGCATGACCTCTTTTTGTCATGTTGATTCATGTTTGAGATATCATCTGGTTGGTGGTTTCAAACATGTTTTATCTTCCATTTCATATATGGGATGTCATCCTTCGCATTGACTCATATTTTTCAGAGGGGTAGGTCAACCACCAACCAGATTATGAAATAACCATCTATCAACCATATATATATATAAACAATATATTAACAGTATATTAACCACAATGGCAGGTTGTTGCACCACCAACCAGTCATATTTGCGAAGTCCTGATGTTTGGGATCCCAAACCTGCCATTCTTTTCGTAGGCGGATTCAGCTGATGTGGCCGCCAAATTGCAGCTAGAGGCGACATATCGCCGCGGGGAAGTCAGGGAAGTCCCTTGGAAGTTTCAATGCTTCGATCTGACAGGTTTTTGTACTTGTACGTCCATGAACTTACTGGTGCTTAGTAGGGAATGGATGGGACTGGGGGATTAGGATTATGATTGATAGTGATTATGGATCATTCCCGAAAATTCCCTACGTTTCGCACCAGTAAGTGAAAGGGTGCCTGGACCTACTGATCAAAACTAAACTGATGAAATCTTGCTTTGATGATCAAGCAAAGTTGCGAGCATATTCGGATCATTGGTCATTTACACAGCAAAGCTGCAGATCTGATGTCATTTTCCCAGTGCAGTGTCAGTGTCCACTATTTGCGTTACAATAATGGACATTTAAAGGGAATGCTCATTGACCCATGCATATCATTGCATATAATCAAATTAGTCATACTGCAATTTCGTTTTTCAACCCACCGTTCCTATGGGTGGTGCTGCTCTGTTTGTGGTCAAATGACTAGTCATCAGCATCAGCATCCGTACGTTCCATCCCACTTGTTGGGCTGCCAAGAACGGCCTGTTCTGTTCAATGCTAATGCCGCGTTTTCACGTGTCTTTGATGGCATTCCCAACATTGCATTTCTGAAGATCATGTTGATTTAATATTGATGATCAACTAATGATCATGTTGATTTAATGTTGATTTCTGAAGATCATGTTGATTTAATGTTGATTTGATGGCATCCCCAATAATGGTCGACTCTTTTCCCAATTGTTATTTGGTGATCTTCGGTGTTACATACCATCCCCCCAACCAACACCCTTGGTCCTTAGAATCGCTGCCAGGATCTAGGGTAGTTGGAGGGATGGTAAGTGTCCACTTCTATGCCATAATTGTGGTTTATGTACTATAGACTATATATATAGGTATCTACGACTAGATAGTTATAATGTCACTATGCATTGCAATTTACAATGTATGTGTATATATATATATACATATACATATATAATTATAAATAAATATATATATATATATATCCACTATCGATGATAGATACCTCCCATTCTTTATCTCCATTCTTGATCTCTCCCTTTCGCTGGGACGGAGGCAGTGAAGATGATTTTGGAGTTGAAGGCTGATGGGAAAGACGTGGCCTCGAAGGTGCGTGGCGATTTTCCTGCGGCGAACATGAGTAGTTTTTGAGGTTTTGTAAGAGTACCAGAATATAGAATGTATTTAACATAAACTGGTTAGTGGTTTGGAACATGAATGGATTATGACTTTCCATTCAGTTGGGAACGAACTCATATTTTTTCAGAAGGGTTCAAACCACCAACCAGTAAATATATTGAATATATTTGACATATTGAATATGTATATTATGTATGTGTATATATATATATATACGTTCTCAGGATTTGAGATGATGTTCATGTATGATCATAATACATTGTTGAAACTCAACATGAAATGCAAATTGAGAAAACCATTAGCCGATTGAATCCTTAAACGCATCTGAATATGGACCAACAAGCATGTTTTTTTTGGGGGGGAGGGGGAACACGGCTGGACATACGAGTCACCAACCCTGAGAATCGCCAAAGTTTGATGGTTGCCAGGAGCAAGTGATCTTGCTGCAGCAGACACTCGGCGAAGATATGAGATGTTGGGAAACGGTTGATTTCAGAATAGTTCCTATATACACATGTTTTTATGTGCCAATTAAATTGTAGTTAGTGACGATGTAGGGCTACCTTGACCCTCAGTGATATGGTCCAAATTGGGTAGCAAATCTCGTCATCGTTGTTTTTGCCTCAGTGGACAAGCGTCAGACGGCTTAAAGCTTGGGGTAGCCATGGCCAGATGACATGAATCGAGAATCTGGAGAAATGAGAACAGAAAGTCTGACGACTGGATATGGCCATTTTGGCGTTCTATGTGAAAAAATATGCTGGGTAACTGGTGGGTCTAAGAGGGTACTGTAGTTCTGCCCTGGTATCCTTTGTGCGCAAATATCCACTGTGCATTTGCTGTGAATCCTGTAAAGTGAGCGATAGGACTTTTCTTAGTCGTTGCAAACTGTGATGAACCAAATGGAAAGGCACATGTCCAAACTATTTCCATTCATATTGGCATTGGTGATGTCATCAACAAATGGTGACAGAGCCTCTCTATCCCGCTCTATACCTGTATCATTCCGTATCCATATAGTCATGTGTACGTGTGTATTCGTATGTACAATATATTGCAACCCCGAAAAGATAGAAGTTGGTCAACTCCTACTAAAAATGTGAATAATTACTGTGATTCATCGTTTTAGTTGTTTTTTTCCCCTCTCTTTCTACCTCCTCTCTCTCTCTCTTGTTTAATTACTATGTGTGTGTGTGTATACATATATATATATATACACATATTTTAAATATACATATTCTAATTATAATTACATTTGTATTTATGTATTTATATATATATATACATGGAAATGTTGGATTCCACCCATCTCCCATCATTTTGGCTCCGCCCAGGCAGCTGGGAAGCTTCGAGGCCAAGAGTTCGAGTTTGGCAACGCAGCTGCAGGAGCTGCAGCAGAGCCTGGCGACCAAGGCGGCTTCGGCCGTCCTGGGTCTCCTGGGTCCCTGGAACCTGGGGACGGGGTCTTAAAATGTAGGACCTACCCTCTGGTAGACGTTTACATAACTATGGAAAATCATAATTTTTAATGGGAAAATCCACTATAAATCATCATTTTCAGTAGCTATGTTAAATTACCAGAGGGTATGGGAAGGAGTGTCTGAAAGTGATAGGAAGGGGTGTCTGAAAATTTCCCATTCAAATGTAGGACTTTTTGTTGGGGGAAGCCTTAGATTTGATGGCCATTGATAGGCGAAAACATATGGAGTCCTTGTTTCGGGAAAACCATGGAAAAGCCCGATTTATGGCCATTAGGAATGGGAAACGATTATGGTACTGGGATTACTATGTTCTTATGGCTTCTTATGGTGATGATATATATAATGGTAGCAATGTAGCAATTCTAGCTATCAGTTAGTTTATTGCCCTACAACTAGTGTTGTTTAGGAACCGCATAGGAAATGTTGGGTTTCTATGATTGTTTAGGCGGAAACCCCACAATGATTTACCACAAGCTACCCCTTTGAATTGTTTTTGGTATACCAATGTTTGGACAAACGAACATGATGGTACACGAAGGGTCTCTTGTGTATGTACATGTCTATAAAATTCTATAAATATATAGTTAAGTTATATCGTATGTATATTATAAATATATGTATAGAGATAGCAGGATGGGTATATGTAGAGAGCAACTTGGGTAAGTGGTGATCATACAATATAGTCAATTTATACATGGGGATTATGGTCTATGTATATGGGGATGGTCCCATTTCTAAAGTTCAAAACGGGCGTCGGAGCTATCATGATGATCAACCGCCAAAAGGGATGCACATGGGTTCCCAAAGAAACTCACAAGTTCATGGACATGTAGAATTTAAGCATCGAAGCATCCCGCATTCCATATACGACTAAAAGTTGGTTGGTGGTTTGGAACGTTTTTTATGTTCCATATATTGAGAATAATAATCCCAACTGACTATAACTGACGAACTCATATTTTTCAGAGGGGTAGGTATACCACCAACCAGAAAGCATATTATAGTCTAATATTATCGAGAATTGCACCAAAATCATCAAATTCATCTCCAAATGAAGGTAGACCCCATGTTTTCTTTCAGCATTCATGGCAGTCATGGAATCATCTGAGATCGCCAGGCGGATCGCTCCCTGGTTCCGAGCTTGGAGGTCTTTGATGCCAAGATGCAAGAAAAGGTGCGTAGCCGGGGCGTGTCGACTTGGAGCAGTTGGAAATTTTGGAATCTACAGAATGATCCGGCAAAATCACACAGAGTTGTGGGTTTTAAGCTGATTACATACACCAAAGAAAAGGATATGATACATGTTAACACACTCTTCACTCTAGTGGAAATTCCTTGAAATGTCCCAGCTTCGCAGCTGAGACCAACAAAACCAAATGGGATGGGAGCTTGCAGTCACCATGAGACTTCACCTTTGACACACCTGAACTCGAATCCTGCAAAACTTCTTTGATTGGAAGATGTTCTGCACTGATGGTCGCTGTGGAACTTCCACATGTTTTGTGTTGTGTTCTGAAAAATCCATGCGATTGGTGCTTAAACTTGGATGAAATCACTCAGGATGCACATGAAGAAAAACCGCCATGATATGCTACCATGACTGAGGATGTTTTATACCCATTTGAATATTCATTTATAGTGATTTTGAAGCATAACCATGAAAGTAACATAAAGTAACCACTATGAACTACTACTAACCATCATTTTCATTAGCCACTACCCATATGCTCCATGGTGCTGGTATATTTACCTACAAAACTGGGTGTTTTTTAGGGTAAATGTTGGGATTCATATTCCAGCACCATGGAGCATACGGGCTATTAACTAACAATTAGGAGCCATTTGGTCGTTGTTTCGGACAGGCAGATGCCTCCTCGGTGCCGACCAATGGTCACCTGAAGGCAGGCGGAGTTTTTTGATGTTTTTTGCGGCTGTTGGTATATCCCCAACATGGTTAGTAAGGGAAATCATCCCAATATGGCCTTAATTCAGGTTAGTGAAATATTATAATTTACCCAGATTGGATTTTTGAGTTCCCTATTTTCAGATCAACCATGACAAACACATATCAGCAAAACTAAGTGGGTCAACATGCCAGTGGTCTAGATTGGCAATGGTTTTTTCAATGACAAAAAAATGCAGGAAATGCCAAGAAATGAAAAACATAACAACAAATAAAGAGAAATGAAGAGAAATTAAAAGAAATGAAAGAAAAGGAACAACACATGAAAAAAATGAAAAGAAATGAGCAAAAATGAACAACAAATGAACATAAATGAAAATAAATAAAAATAAAATGAACAAAAGAGGAAAAGACATGAACAAAATGAAACAAAACAAAAACAACTGTTTGTTTGTTTTTTTTCTGTTTATTGTTATTATTGTTTTTGTTGGCTCTTGGGTTTCGCGATAGTGGGATCACCTGCATTTGGATTTTAATTAAGAACATGTTTCTTGATATGTTTTCAAATACTATTTGGCTATGTGTTTGACAAAAAATGCAAAACATAGAAATCATTGAGAAAACATGTAAAAAACAAAGGAAATCGCAAACGTGCTGCAAGGGTGTTTCTGGTGCGATGTGCTGTGGAAAAATATGAGAGTGTTTGCGCGTGGCCAGCGTTGTCAAAACAAAGTCACTTTTGATAGGCCATAGCCTGAACAGATTAAATGAAATGAAGTAAAATCATTTGAGTTTTATCTATGTATTTGTTGTATACGTATTTGTCTTTTATGATTTTTTATTTCGATTTATTTCTTGTTATTTCTCTTTATTGTTTTTCTTGTGAAAAAAAGTGTCTTGTTCAATGATTTTAAATGTGTTTTTTGATTTTGGACCAACCAACCATGTTGAAACTGACCTACTGCAACCTGCACCACCACTTAGTCTTGCTGATCAATAGTTGATTAATAAATTAACTTAATGGGGTGAATCAAGTAACTAGCTATATTAATATTGAGTCTATAACTAATGGGGTGTGTAAACCAACTTACAACTTGGGATAACCTGGGATTGTCTGAAACAAAATCATTCCGAAGATATCCAAGAAAATCCAATCGAACTCAGCGAAGTCATGGGATTTGCTGTGGCAATGCTGTCTGAATTTGACAAATTTGGAGGTTCAGGAGAACCGTGGTTTGAACTCTCAATGACCATCCAAATTTCAGCTCACATCATGATCAACACCTGGTGGTTGGTGGTTTGGAACATGTTTTATTTTTCCATATATTGGGAATAATAATCCCAACTGACTTTCATATTTTCAGAGGGGTAGGCTCAACCACCAACCAGAAAACCTGGGTGCGAAAAAAATTGCCCAGCTGATCATTGGCTCGCTGGGCCATCCCGGTCCGTATGACGATGGCGTTCTGGAGCACGGATTTCCAATTTTTGGAGATCAACAGGTACGTTGCAAGATTTCAAAATGTTTACATTGAAATACCATGGAAATATATATGGAAATATACCCCTCGGGGGTCAGAGGGATGAAGATTCCAGAAATCGTTCTGAAGAGGTTCGGGGTGCATCTCCGGGAATGGGACCATGATCCTCAATATAGGGCCCTAGGGTGGGATAGTTATTGAAACCACCAGCAACGACGAATGACAAGAGAAGTCACTTCATGCCCATAGTAGATAATTATAGAATATTATAGATATTTTATGATAGTTTATCATATTTTATCATATTTTATATGTTATTTTTCTATACCCTCTGGTAATTTAACATAACTATGGAAAATCACCATTTTTCATGGGAAAATTCACTATAAATGGTGATTTTCCATGGTTATGTTAAATTACCAGAGGATATGTGTGGCTTGTTTACAATGAATGATGCCTGGCCGTGGCTTTCCAATTCCGAGGCGGTGATGAAGATCTTGGAGCTAAAGGCGGATTCCGTCCGACTCTCAGTGGCTGCCCGTCTTTTTGTATCCGATACGGGTATCCCAAAGATCCGATAAAAAGAGCTGATAGTATGATAGTTATATGAGCTACAACCAAAATCTAGGTTAATGGAGAGTAGTATTCGAGCGGTCTCTATTTTTTGGAAATTGAGCTGGGGCTTGGAAAACGATAATACACTCATCAAAAAACAATAATATTTACTTATATGCCAAAACCTGAAAAACGATAATACACTCTTCAAAAATTGATGACTTGGAGCTATATACCAAATATTGACCGTGGCCCATATGATGTTATAAGGTATATATATATTATCTGGTTGGTGGTTTGGAACCATGGAATTTTATGACTTTCCATTTCATCATCCCAACTGACGAAGTCCATCATTTTTCAGAGGGGTAGGCTCAACCACCAACCAGTGTTAAATATATTATATGATATGATATTCCCATTTTTTTGGGGTGTACACTCCATTTTCAGACCCATATGATTTTTAGGCATACGCAATGACGACCATCAACATGTTGAGCAGAATCTGGTGAACAATGTCAGAGAATGCAAAGCATCACACGGTGACATCGCCAGTTGGGACCCAATCAGTTGGACTGCCTAGATATACCAAGACCCTCTGTTTTTCCATTGGTATTTTACACAACATGTTGTTGTGTGTTTCCATTTGCTATGGGTACTTTTGAGGGCCAAAGTCACAGACAAAATGCATAATTCAATCAGAGATATTTAGAGTAGCTACTCGCTTTCGATCGCAGTTGGGTGGTGGTCGCGGACAGTAGGTGTTGCTTTTCCCTCCTAGTTTCAGATGATTGAGTCCAGCATGGGTGCTGTGTTCATCCATGTCTGGTTGGTAGTTTGGAACATTTTTCCATATATTGGGAATAGTCATCCCAACTGACGAAGTCATATTTTTTCAGAGGGGTAGGTTGAAACCACCAACCAGTTGCTATGTTCATCCATGTTCAATCCAACTACAGTAATATACCCATGATATGGGATTCCCAACGTATGTTCATGACGTTTGGATAGCAAATACGATACGTTCATCAAATAGCACATAAGTTCATCCAAACGTCTGTTCAATCAATCACTTTTTTTTTGGATATGTGATTCCCAACTGACCAAAATCAGGACAACTCACCTCAATCCAACATGTTTTTTCAACCCATTTGAACTCGGAGCGCGTGACATGGCTAGCCATGGCTATAGCCATGGCTCGCCGAAACCACCAGCCTTTCCGCGAGGAAAAGGTGGTGAAGATCACGGACTTCCAGGTGTTTTTTTTTCTGACAGATGGCGAAGTGGAACTGGAAAAATGTACAAATTTATAGTTAATATAGTTTAATAAGTTAGATCTAAGTTGTTTAATGTAGTTTAATAACTTAGATCAACTTGGAACAGCTTGGGACAACTTGCAACAAAGATTGGTTTTGGAAGATGAATTCGTCTTGAGTACTACTGTAAGTGATTGTTGGTGTGAAGCACCTTGAATATTTCATATGTTGAGTTGTTGTAGTATGTTTGGAGTCAGAACTCTGCTTTCCATGCCTACGAAAGATCAATTTATCAAATTACTTTAATATATATATATATGTATATTATACATTATATAGCCAACCTTTCGTGGACACAGCTCTTGTGGCCTATCCCTATGACTCTTATGGCACCCTGGAGAAACATGGGTCACCCGTCATCTTCCATTTGGAGACCATGGAAGCGTGACCGCAGCCATTTGATTCGAGTTTGGCTAAGCCCGGCCCTGAGGAAATGAGGTCCACAAGTGATGGTGGCCAGGGCCAAGTCTTGAGACTCTTTAGATCTTTCTGTTCAGCAAATGGTGAAGGATGCGCTCGTTGAAACTCAATGGTTCCTGGGTTTGCAGGTGTATCAGATGGTTTCAAGGCAACTTCCTTTGAAGAAAGGTGGCAAACTCACCCTGCATCACGTTGACTCGCCTTTGATACTGCACAAAGCATTGCAGGAGCAAGGCATTGTGGGCTAGGCTTTTTTGCACTTACGTTCCAACAGATCTTTAGGCTGCATGTCTACTGTCCAAGGTTTACCAGTCTCTCCGGGAGAGCTTGTATTAGAGGGTATCACGCGGATAGCAGGTGCAACAACCTCAAAGTATCCGCACCATCTTCCCATCTTCCACAAAGCCTTGAGACCCTGCCAAGTGGTCTCCAGAGCTAGCGAGTTCAAACAGAGCTTGGAAGGAGAGACCTCGCCAAGTAGTCTTCAGGGATCGACATTTAGTGATGACTTTACCATCTTTACCCCGAGCTTGGACCTTGGAATGAGTGACCTTTCCAAGCAGCCTGAAGACCTTGACCTTTGGGTCGCGGTTTAACAAGCGCTTGGAATGAGTGACTCTGCCAATCAGTCTTCAGCACCTGACATTTGGTGACAATTTGCAAGGGGTGACACTGCCAAGCAAACTTCAAAGCTTAACATTTGGATACATTTGGCAGGAATTTTAACCAGATCCTGAAAGGAGTGACCCTGCCAAAAGCTCTTCAATTTTCTATGTGTTGTTGGGTCTTGGTGAGCATGGCTTGATTGGCCTCTGAACCTGCATCGGAGGTCCAAAGAAAAACCGAGATCACTGGTGGTCTCAAGAATGGCCATGCAATATGCTGCGTCTTCCCTGGAATGGGGTCCCTATCCCCCTTGGAATTTCCAATGTAGAACAGGTGAGGTGGACCTCTGTATAACACTGTCCAGACCCGCTTCCATTTTGGAGGGTTTGGTCTCGCCACAGCCACAAAGTGTGTCGATGGTTCGTCACGTGTTGAATTCTTGAGGCAGGTCTTCTTTTTGAGGTGTGACAGCCCCACAAGCCCGTAATAAGGATTTGATTTGGCACATCAACAATTGTCAAGTGCTGGGGTAGATTACCAGAGACTACCCAGAAGCAGTTTCTCTCCATCTTTGATGACTGTGCCGAGAACCGAGTGGACCGAGTGATAAATTTGATAACCCATTGGCTTTGATGGCCCAATATCCAATATCCCATGAGCAACTCATGTATGTGAAGAACTGCAATGCTACAGAATATAAAAGACCATCTGAATGATCACTTTTGTCATTGAACATGGGCAACTTGCAAGCCAGGAACCTTCGTATTGTCTCAGATTGGTAAACCAACGAAGATTGGATAAGCCGACAACAATAGGGACAAAAGCACATGGGGATGTGTCCCCTGGATCATCATTTCCCTACTATAGTAGCCTTTGGGAATTACGTTCACGGATTTCCCAGCCATGTTTGACGAAAAGCCATATCCCATTTTCAATCCCAGTATGATCCATAGATGTCCCAAATTCCAATTGGTTGGTTGATGAAAAAAGAGGGGTTTCTTCAGAACCCCCTAAAAAACAACAGGTTTCTATGATTAAATGATGATAGATGGTGTACCAGTTTCCGGCCCCTTTATTTTTACCAAAAGGACATTATTGCTATGATCCATGTCCATCCGGCCATCCCCGCTCTCCAGGCCTTACAACAGACGCTGCAAGACTGTGTGGCTGCCAAGTCACAGCTGCATGCGCTGAACGCCCTGGTGCTCACGAAGGCGCAAAAAGAGATGGCGGCGCGATGCGGTTAGCGACTGGCGAGGTTAGGTACATATAGAATACCCTCTGGTGAACTAACATAGCAATGGAAAATCACAATTTTTAATTGGAAAATCCACTATAAATGGCCATTTTCAATTGCTATGTTAGTTCACCAGAGGGTAATTATAACATATCGAATCTGGACAAAAAGAACTGCGTGAACTTGAATCATCGACTGGTTGGTGGTGACTGGACCCATGGAATGGATTATGACTTTCCATTCAGTTGGGAATGGAAAATAATTCCAAGTGACGAGTTCACTCCATCATTTTTCAGAGGGCTCAACGGGCTCAACGGGCTTAACCACCAACCAGATTAGATGTTGAACTATCATTAAACCATATAGTAACACCATCATCATTAACAGTTAACCATGATTATTAACCATGATTATTAACCATGATTATTAACCATTATTAACCATTATTAATAACATCATCATCATTAACACCATCATCATTAACAGAATAACAGTATATATTAAATATTTAATAATGGTTAATAATGGTTAATAAAAACATATATAAACCATAGCAGTATATTAACCATTATTAACCATTGTTATGCCATTTTCAGAGGGGTAGGTGGCTCCACCACCATGAGGACTTAAGCATCAGTTGATCACTCCAAAAACCGTTGAGGTTTTCGAACGGGGTAAGGCATGGTTTCTGGCAGATGAAAATAATTAATCATGATAAGATCTACATATATAGTATCAGGGTAAGTATATCTATATAGATCTAGTCTAGACATAGGTTTAATTTAATTTGATACTAATTTGATACTAATTTGATACTATATAGATCTAGACATAGATATCCAGCCAAGATAGAACATGCTGGACTGCCTTGAATTCGGGTTCACACTCAACAATACCACCAGCACGCGTGATGTCCCTTTTGTTGTCTAGTCGACAAGATATCTTTGGCCATCTTCGGTGTGTACATCCTAAGAAATAATGCAAATTACCTGGGCCAATCTGACCAGCGCGAACAGCAAATCCGTTTATGCTATAAATGATCGACGCCCACAAAATGGGTATCCAGAATTGCTAATCTTATGGAGTTGCTTAGGAATTATGAGAGCAAGCCTCCCAACCAAAACAAGTCATAGTTCAATATGCGAACGATTGGTTCTTTAGACTGGGGATACATCAATGTTTGAGATTGATTTAGACCACCCCACTATGTTACTACGTCCAGTTGATGGCATGTTGACACAAACAGCACAAACACTTTCATTCCCCTACCATGGGCCAGAGACTTTAAAGACATGGAAGAGACAAGCATATGTATATAAATCGGACTAATTTTTCATGTTGCGTCAAACCGGATTGGTTTATTTGATCAGTTTGTCCAAAATTGGCAGATGCCCCAACCCAGGGGACAGCGCTTGGGAATCCAGCATTTGGATGCATTCGTATCATGCCAGTTGATTCATAGTTGGGAACTTATTCATTACCTCAGTTACTTCTAACAATTATTACCTAAAGGAATCCTGCAAGAATCCCATTGGAAACTTGGAAAACTCACCAAGTATATCATCAATTTAAACCATGGATGAGTAAATCATTCGATTGGATGGGTAACCAAGTATTCTATTCTTACTTCTAACATACTCATGAATTCCATGTTTCATTGGGTATCATCTCCCAGTTGTGCAGCTGAATTCTTTCCTTGCTGCTGAAACCATCCGAATTATCCCGCACTGGATATGCTGCCTATTGAGTCCCATGGTTTAGGGCTCCAAAAGGCATTTTTAGTTTCAGAAACTATATTCAACATCACCTGAAAAAAAAAAACTATGTTTAGTTTTTCCTATTTTTCTGGGTTTTCTATATCTTTTGTGCTTTGAAGATGTTTGAAGCAGTGAACTTCCCGGCGATCCCCGTGGCGATCTCCCAGGAGGCGGAACTTCAGAGCCTCCAAGCGGAGCTGCAGCGCAAAGCCAACGCCGCGGAGGTGGGATGACCATGTGGTTGTAGATAATAGATAGATATATCCATAGTTATTATGTATATAACAATATAATTATATAGATAGATATAGTGTATAATATATATATAGATAGATATAGTATAATAATTATATAGATAGATATAGTGATATAGTTATTATCAATAATGATATATATATAGATATTGTATATATAGTTCTTATGTGTTATTATCACCAGTTATAAGTGGATTAACCCTACTTATCTCATTTATAACTCCGGTTACAATCCACTTACTAAAGTTATTATGGTATATATCAATATAATTATATAGATATAGATATATTGTATAATATGTATTTATATATATAATAGATACTATATAGATATATTATATGTATTCAATTGTCACTATATAGATACATATATATATATATATCATATATATTATCAAAGTATATGTACTAATATCTACTATATGTAATATATTAATGTGGGATAGATATATTGTATATATATATTTATTATCTATGTGATAGTTATTGATTATATATCCAATATTTATGTGATATATATATATATATACATATATAGATAGATATATAATAGATACAATATATATATATAATATATAATATATATATATAATATATTATATTATATGTAATCGATACACAACTTGAACTCGTCCAGCAAACATGAGGATTCGGAGTGTTTTCAGCAAACAATTGGACTTGTCACTGTTTTTTCGCCCAGCAAATAGGCCATTGAGTGGATTCACTAATTGATATTATCTGGTTGGTGGTTTGGAACATTTGTTATTTTTCCATATATTGGGAACAATAATCCCATTTGACTTTCATATTTTTCAGAGGGGTTGAAACCACCATCCAGATATATGTATATTACAGTATCTATGTTTTGTTTATCATAGATACAATATATCATAATATATATATAATAGACACAATAGACACTTTTTTGGGTTCATGATGTAGAATTGTTTAATGTTAAATGGATGGATTCATGATATACTTAGCGGCCCTTCATTGGGCTACCCTCCGGTTTTCTCTAACAGTTTGCGGTTACTCGAAGTCATGGCCCATTTAATGAGTTCGTTGATTTTTACCTACTAAAAGTGGTGATTTTTCCAGTTCGGTATGTAAACGTTTACCAGGCCGGGTATGTTCAGTTTGTGTTCAGTGACAAGTGATGGATTTCGTGCCCAGATGACTGAGCAGTACTGAGTGGGGTTACACCCCAAAGAATCGACATTGCAGCGGAGCAATGACCAAAGAATTGCTGGATGGTGCAAGTGCATTGAATTTCTGTTGTTTGTTTTTGAATGTGTTTGATCCAAACAAAGATCATGTTTGTTGGTCCTCAAACTATTCAAATCTAGCATAATCTATCATATGTTTAGACGTGTATCGTGCCTGTGCGCATAAATAAGCGCTGGTATACTAAGTAATCTAAGAGAACTCTGGAAAATCACCATGTTTAACAGGTCAATATTTGAACCAAAGGTCACCCCCCATGGCTATGTCATGCTATGTCAATATACCAGGGACCATCTATTCTGGTGGGTGGTTTGGAATATTTGGATTATGTTTCCATTCAGTTGGGAATGTCATCATCCCAACTGACTTTCATATTTTTCAGAACCAAATATTTTTCAGAACTGGTTGGTGTTTGAGCCTACCCCTCTGGTTTCAAACATTTATTTTGCCATTCAGTTGGGAATAATAACCCCAACTGACTATATAATATGTTTATATTTTTTTCAGAGGGGTAGGCTCAACCACCAACCAGTATTATTTGGGTGATGCGGTCTGGTTTTTCATTGCTCCCCTGGTCGCTGCCGCCAGGTGGCAACAGCACTGGACCTGCGCAGTCTGGAGCAAAAGTTTCAGGATCCAGCCCAAGATCCAGCACGTTCTTCATGCGATTCCGAAGATTGTTGTTTTCCAGGGAAAAAAAAACAGGAAACATAGGAATACACTGGAGATGTCACCAATGGTTCAACCCTAGAAATGGGATGATAAAATTTCAACTGACATCTGTGTGTTTCAGATGGGTTGAAACCACCAACCAGTTGGGGATTTTTTGTTATGAAGAAGTGGTAGTTGAACATCAACAAAAGGACATAGTCTTCAGCAATTGGGGATTGAACCATCACACATTGGGCATAAAGGCATAAAGTGTATGAAGTCATTCTTACTTACTAGTGAGAGTTTCATTTCAGGGTTCAAACAGTTGCCTCAGAGGCTTTAATTCCTGCTTTTCGTTAACAAAAGAACGAACTATTTTGTTTTACTGTGCATTGTCGTGCGTTGCTTGCAAATTCATGTGTTTGGATCACAAGAGTTTCGGATGTTTTTAGATTATTTTCAAAACACCTCAGAAACTATACACATCTTGTTTTCATGTGTTGTTTCTTTCCCATTTACATTAACAAACTGGAAAATCACCATTTTTTTGGGGGTAAATTCACGAACTTTCTATGGCCATAGCTGTCAGGATGTGGTGACTACTCATCAACACCAAGCCCTGACGAAGACGCTGGAGAACAAGGCAGGGAAGAATGGCGGGAGGGACGCTGGGAAGGGGCTGGGAAGGTTGGACCTAACCTGGGCCAGGTGGTTTCAAACATGGCTTTTATTTTCCATTTCATATATGGGATGTCATCCGAAACCCATTGACTTTCACATTTTTTCAGAGGGGTAGGTCAACCACCAACCAGTAACACTGCGAGCATCGTTGCTGTGTTGTTTGTTCAGCAAAAACCTTGGAAAACCAAGCTGGAAAACAAACGAACTGGTGCAAGCATGAGGATTCGGAGTGTTTTCAGCAAACAGGTGGACTTGTTTGTTCGCCCAGTAAGCAAATAGGGCATTGAGTGGATTCACTAATTGATATTGTGATTTAGTAGTTTGCTTAAAGTGAATTCATCAATAGAAACACGAAAAGATCATGGCACCCCCGTATGAATATGTACTGATACAGTAAATCCGCTTGAATGTTGACAAGTATTTTGAAAGGGGTACCCCAACTTATCATTGATTGTGTCACACTAAGTCGTGTTCGATGGGATTGTTGCACTTTATGAGCTAGGAATCCTTGTGAAAGAATTGCTCAAGTGGTTACCATGTGGAAATCTAGGAAAGCCTCATTCTTGGAAATCATGTGGAAATGGAAAGAAACATAGTATTTCCCATAGACTCTATGCATGTTTGAGGTACCCAATCGTTTCACCTTTGCCCGTAAGTTTTCGACGCGATGGATCCCAACGGATACCGTAGCACCAACCTCGTGGTTAAGAAAGACATGTTCCATATCTGGTTGGTGTTTTGGAACATTTTTTATTTTTTCCATATATTGGGAACAATAATCCCATTTGACAAAATATTTTTCAGAGGGGTAGGTATACCACCAACCAGATATTGATTATTGATTGATGGCCATTTGCTGGTTAATCCACCATGCTCACACACAAATCCAGATATCATTTCAAGTTGGTTGTGTATCCTGATATCCCAAGATGTCCCAAGATATCCCAATTGGTTACTGGGTGAAAATGATGGTAAATCTCAACATTGCTTGGTTGAAAAAACATATGTTTCCATATGTGTCCATAGTTGTCCCATAGTTTTTCTATAGTTTTCCCATAGTGTTCCTATAGTTTGCCCAATTTTTCCTATAGTTTTCTCATATTTTCCTATAGTTTTCCCATATTTTTCCTATAGTTTTCTCATATTTTCCTATAGTTTTCCCATATTTTCTAAAGTTTTCCCATATTTTTCCTATAGTTTTCTCATATTTTCCTATAGTTTTCCTATAGTTTTCCCATATGTTCCTATAGTTTTCCCATATTTTTCCTATAGTTTTCCCATATTTTTCCTATAGTTCTCCCATATGTTTCCTATAGTTTTCTCATATTTTCTAAAGTTTTCCCATAGTTTTCCTATAGTTTTCCCATATTATTCCTATAGTTTTCCCATATTTTTCCTATAGTTTTCCTATATGTTTCCTATAGTTTTCTCATATTTTTCCTATAGTTTTCCCATATTTTTCCTATAGTTTTCCCATATTTTCCCATAGTTTTCCTATAGTTTTCTCATATGTTCCTATAGTTTTCCTATAGTTTTCCCATATTTTCCCATAGTTTTCCTATAGTTTTCTCATATTTTCCTATAGTTTTCCTATAGGTTTCCCATATGTTCCTATAGTTTTCCCATATTTTTCCTATAGTTTTCTCATATAGTTTTCCCATATTTTTCCTATAGTTTTCCCATATTTTCCCATAGTTTTCCTATAGTTTTCTCATATTTTCCTAGAGTTTTCCTATAGTTTTCTCATATTTTCTTTAGTTTTCCTATAGTTGTCCTATAGTTTTCCCATATTTTCTATAGTTTTCTCATAATTTTCCTATAGTTTTCCCATATTTTTCCTATAGGTTTCTCATATTTTCCTATAGGTTTCTCATATTTTCCTATAGTTTTCCCATATTTTTCCTATAGTTTTCCCATATTTTCCCATAGTTTTCCCATATTTTTCCTATAGTTTTCCCATATTTTTCCTATAGTTTTCCCATATTTTCTAAAGTTTTCCCATAGTTTTCCTATAGTTTTCTCATATGTTCCTATAGTTTTCCCATATTTTTCCTATAGTTTTCCCATGTTTTTCCTATAGTTTTCCCACATGTTTCCTATAGTTTTCCCATATTTTCCCATAGTTTTCCTATAGTTTTCTCATATGTTCCTATAGTTTTCCTATAGTTTTCTCATATTTTCCTATAGTTTTCCTTTAGTTTTCCTATAGTTTTCCCATAATTTTCCTATAGTTTTCTCATATTTTCCTATAGTTTTCCCATATTTTTCCTATAGTTTTCCCATATTTTTCCTATAGTTTTCTCATATTTTTCCTATAGTTTTCCTATAGTTTTCCCATATTTTCTAAAGTTTTCCCATAGTTTTCCTATAGTTTTCCCATATTTTTCCTATAGTTTTCTCATATTTTCCTATAGTTTTCCCATTTTTTCCTATAGTTTTCTCATAGTTTTCCTATAGTTTTCTCAATTTTTTCCTATAGTTTTCCCATAGTTTTCCTATAGTTTTCCCATATTTTTCCTATAGTTTTCCCATATTTTCTAAAGTTTTCCTATAGTTTTCCTATAGTTTTCCCATATTTTTCCTATAGTTTTCTCATATTTTTCCTATAGTTTTCCCATATTTTTCCTATAGTTTTCTCATAGTTTTCCTATAGTTTTCCCATATTTTTCCTATAGTTTTCTCATATTTTTGCTATAGTTTTCCCATAGTTTTCCTATAGTTTTCCCATATTTTCCATAGTTTTCCTATAGTTTTCTCATATTTTCCTATAGTTTTCCTATAGTTTTCTCATATTTTCTATAGTTTTCCTATAGTTTTCCTATAGTTTTCCCATAATTTTCCTATAGTTTTCCCATAGTTTTCCTATAGTTTTCCAATAGTTTTCCATATTTTTCCTATAGTTTTCCCATATTTTCTAAAGTTTTCCCATAGTTTTCCTATAGTTTTCCCATATTTTCTAAAGTTTTCTCATATTTTTCCAATAGTTTTCCAATATTTTTCCTATAGTTTTCCCATATTTTTCCTATAGTTTTCCCATATTTTTCCTATAGTTTTCCCATATTTTTCCTATAGTTTTCCCATATTTTTCCTATAGTTTTCTCATATTTTCCTATAGTTTTCCCATATTTTCTAAAGTTTTCCCATATTTTTCCTATAGTTTTCCCATATTTTTCCTATAGTTTTCCCATATTTTTCCTATAGTTTTCCCATATTTTCCCATAGTTTTCCTATAGTTTTCCTATAGTTTTCCCATATTTTTCCTATAGTTTTCCCATATTTTCTAAAGTTTTCCCATAGTTTTCCTATAGTTTTCCCATATTTTTCCTATAGTTTTCTCATATGTTCCTATAGTTTTCCCATATTTTTCCTATAGTTTTCCCATATTTTCCTATAGTTTTCCCATATTGTTCCTATAGTTTTCCCATATTTTTCCTATAGTTTTCATATTTTTCCTATAGTTTTCCCATATTTTTCCTATAGTTTTCTCATATTTTCCTATAGTTTCCCCATATTTTTCCTATAGTTTTCTCATATGTTCCTATAGTTTTCCCATATTTTTCCTATAGTTTTCCCATATTTTTCCCATAGTTTTCTCATATTTTTCCAATAGTTTTCCCATATTTTTCCTATAGTTTTCCCATATTTTTCCTATAGTTTTCCCATATTTTTCCTATAGTTTTCCCATATTTTTCCTATAGTTTTCCCATATTTTTCCTATAGTTTTCCCATATTTTTCCTATAGTTTTCTCATATTTTCCTATAGTTTTCCCATATTTTCTAAAGTTTTCCCATATTTTTCCTATAGTTTTCCCATATTTTTCCTATAGTTTTCCCATATTTTTCCTATAGTTTTCCCATATTTTTCCTATAGTTTTCCCATATTTTCCTATAGTTTTCCCATATTTTCTAAAGTTTTCCCATATTTTTCCTATAGTTTTCCCATATTTTTTCTATAGTTGTCCCATAGTTTTCCTATAGTTGTCCCATAGTTTTCCTATAGTTTTCCCAAGGATTCTTGGTACTTTGGAAAAACTCCCCGACTCCAAGGCGGACTCCTGGGATGTGGTAAGCCTCAGGAAGCGGCTGCTCCCAGATGGGGGGAGGATGATCCTGGTACCCATAGGTACCCATGGAAAATGGCCCATAGAAATAGATGGTTTACCTATCAAACATGGTGGATCTTTCCATGGCTATTTTAATCATATTGGATATCTATTGGATATGATATGATATCTATTAGATATTGGATTTTTAATGGATATCTAATATGGTATTTGTGGATGATATTGGATATCTAGATATCTACTGGATATGATATCCTTTACCCTCTGGTAAATTAATAATTAACAGTTGGACCCTGATTTTATCACCAATTTTTAATGGACACTCATCTTCCAACCCCGACAACTGGCAGGGTCTATGTTAATTTACTGGAGGGTAACATTTGGATACATTTGGGGTATATTGATGGGATCCATGTTACCATATATAGCAGCACCGTTAGGATCCGTCATGGGCTATGAATTATATAGAATTGTACTATTGTAGTATAGTACTATGATCAGTACTATATGAATTACTTGTGAGAAACATAGTACGAAACAAATACTATCATACTATAGTACTATTCCCACTCAGTCTTCGACAAAGTTTAACTGGGGCTTTCACAACGACAAAGTTTAACTTTGTCTTTGGAAGCGACATGTGTTTACTGGGCATTACCAGACCCAATGAGTACTAGTATAAATATATACCGGACTCCAGAGTTTCAAACAAATCCCACTCCAAACCCAGAGCGTGAAAAGTGCGTGAAACGACCGTGAAAAACCCGTGAAAAGACAGTGAAAAACCCGTGAAAACCAATCAAAAACTTGAGCATGGAAACCACATATTTTTATTCAGAATTTTGAGGATTGATTTACGGATTCGATTAGGCTCAGGGGAAAGGTCACCCTTTTTTGACTATATATATATATATCAGCAGTCAATGAGTGTCTTTAAGTAAAGTCATGGTTTTACTTGGACGACAAAGTTTAACTTTGTTCTTGGAAGTAGTGGGATTCATGTTTATAGGATGATCCCATGATCACTACCGAAACATATAAATTATTAGTAGTGATTATAGTCGCACATGAATGAAATGTGAAATTATGGTAGTCCCCCAAAAAGATGGTAAATTTCAACTATAGAATGGAAAATCCTTTGGATAATCAAACGTGTATGGCTGGAAAAACCCTGATCCATGCATGTTGGCAAACGTGGCTTGTTTCTAGTCTCCGGAACTGTTTAGTTTTGCAAAGCATTCTAAATTTGGAACAAACTTCCGTAGCGTTTCTTTTTGGGGGGTGTTGAGGCCGCCAGAAAATCATTGAACAACCGCTCTCGAAAAAAGAAACCTCAGAAGCGCCCTTTGTTCACACGTGCTATACCCAATACCAAAGAACCCTTCGAATGCCCAAGACGAGAGAACTAGTCAATTTTCCAATTGTGTCCAAGAAACATACAAGGTGAGGCCCCCCAGTTATGTTTGTTATTGTTGGTTTACAATCCCCATTAACTATAGTATAGTTGTATCATTGTATCCCCCATAGTTGTCATAGTTAACCAAACTATGTGCGTCAACTTAGCTATGTTTCGGGGGCCTCACCTTTTTTGTTTGTACATGGATATATGATGATTAAAGGATATAACATATGATTAATATATATATATATATATTACCCTCTGGTAAACTAACATAGCTATGGAAAATCACTATTTTTAATGGGTAAATCCACTATAAATTGCCATTTTCAATAGCTATGTTACATTACCAGAGGGTAAAATGCTGTCATAAAATCATGCACTTGTCCAACTCACTTCAGAAACCCTCTGGGATCATCGGTTCCTCAAAGCGGGAAACCCACCCCGAGGCTGCTGGAAACGAAGGCGGCCTCCGAGGAAGTGCCGAAGATTCAGGACTTCCAACGCCTGGTCCATGAGGCGGGGATCAAAAAAGTGAAGTACTAATCAATGGATTGGTTTAAGGGAAAATTTACAGGAAAACCCCATATTTAGTGGGAAAATCTATGGTTTCCTGTAGATTTTCCCTTAAATCAATCCATTGAACTAAAGTACTAGGTTGAACCAAATAGTTTATTATGGTTCAACCAGGAACCAAACTATATTATGCTTCTATATTAATTATGGTTCTATATTATCTGTATTATGGTTCTATGTTTACCAAACTCGGGAACCAGGAAGCAAAACAGATAGACCAGGTACAGATATATGGTTCAATTGTTTATCATGTCTTTTTGTCTAAGTTTGGATGTGTCTCTTCTACGATACCAAGAATAAACCATCCTAAACCCTTCTCAATATCACTGGAAATGGTGTATAGAAACCATCCACAATTGGAATGTATATATTTTAGGGTTTACAGCATTAATCCTATCCTCCAATCGTATTAAAGATACCCCCTATATATTATATATATATTATATATATTATATATATATTATATATATATAACTGGTTGGTGGTTTGGAACATGAATTTTATGACTTGCCATTCAGTTGGGAATGTCATCATCCCAACTGACGAAGTCCATCATTTTTCAGAGGGGTAGGCTCAACCACCAACCAGATGAAGACACCCGCATTAACCGAATAGACTTAATGCTAAAGCAGTCGTTCTGGGGGATGAGCTTTGGCTATATTTCAAAGTATCCCAGGTTAGAATGGATTGTTTTTGGTGGTGAAGCATGCCGATATCTGTACTTCTAGAGTACCCACATAATTGGCTCCTTGATCCCCCAAAATTATACTGTGCCAATGAGGTACTAAGAGTGCTTATGATATGTTATGATGATGTTTGGTCATAGTTCAGAAAGCTCACAGTGTCTTGAATGTTCCAGTGGTCCAGGTCTCATTTAATCGTCAAAACATCATTGGATATTCAGACATACTCAGATGCTAAAACCGTCAAAGCAGCTACATTATATAAATTACTGTATAGACATGGTTGTTTAATCCCGAAGTGTAGGTACTTTTGCCACTGGTTTCGCAATTTCCAGGCATTTCCAGGGTCAAGATACTGTAAAGCCTCCAGCCAGGATCTCCAATACCAGCCAGTTGATGATGGTCTTGATGTATCTTCCAACATTACTCGGAGAATCGCCCATTTGTTGAGATTCATGCCAGCATCACAGATGGTATGGGTTGTTTCTTGGGGAATTGTGAGGATTGTGAGAGAAAAGAGCTGTTTAGATGTTTCAAGTTCTTGTGGACCAGCATGCAATGATTATGTATTTGACATGCTTACAGGTTTGTGGCTGCATGACTATAGTGAATTGAAGGTATTGCACAAATGATTTCGGCACATGCGACACTGATTTGCTTCAGTAAGAATCGGCCAGTGTCGAATGCATAGATTTGATCCCTATCAATGGTCGATGACATGGGGGCAACACCTCAATCTATGATTGTACGCTTGTAGGTGATATTATATAGCGTAGCGTAGCGGGTAGTTGAGGCTGCAAAGTACTGAAACCCGAAAGAACATGTTTAAACATGAAAACTACAGTAGCAAATTGATTTTGAAGTCTTTAATCGTATTTGACCTTATATTTTAGCCTTATTTTGACATTGCCAAAAAAAAGAGTTTTGCAAGGTATTTTATTGCACAGATCTCTGCGCCACACGGGGATGTTTTCCCAATGCGCCAGGTGAGTGAGAAAGCTGACAGCAAGGATGTACCTTGGCAATCCTTACCCTCTGGTAATGTAACATAGCTATTGAAAATGGCCATTTATAGTGGATTTACCCATTAAACATGTTGATTTTCCATAGTTATGTTAGTTTACCAGATGGTAGATTCAAATTTCTAGAGTTATCAGAGATGAAGATCTGATGATTACCCTCTGTTTATGTCAATGTTTGCTAATGAAAATGGTGATTTTTTCGTTCGTGGATTTACCCATTATATTGCATGCTGGATCTTTCCAGTTCGTTACGTCACCGTTTACCAGAGGGTAGTTCAATTTATTGGACTTCATTATGGCTGTCCTATATTCCATTGGAGTCATGGCCCAGCTTCAGGGCCCCGCCATGACTCGTTGACCTGGGAATTTAGCTACATTTTGACCCCCAAATTGGGGATGACGATCCCAACTGACTCCGCAGCTTCAGGTGCCCAGTATGGAGGAATTCGACACACTTAGGGACAGATGGGGAGATGGGCAGATCCACAGGTGGTTGATCAGTTTTTCTTTTTTTTTTCCGTTGCGAATTTAAACAACTTGACTTGAATTTGAATCGTTTACCATGAAAAAATCATGTTACGTTTGTTATTTTAATTGTATTATACCTACGTCAGTTGAATTGATGAAGGATGTTTACCATGAAAGAAATGTGTATATCAACATCAATCAACAGAGGGGTTGCGTGTCAAGAAAGACGAGAGTGGCGGCAAAGTGAACATGTGGTGCTAAAAGGGAGCAAAACTACCTTGAGGATTTTCTTACAAAGAGGTTTATTTTTACCACACACATTTGATGCGAGTTCACTACCCTCTGGTAATGTAACATAGCTATTGAAAATGGTGATTTATAGTTGATTTACCCATTGAAAATGGTGATTTTCCATAGTTATGTAAACGTTTACCAGAGGGTAGTGTGGGTGTGTGTTCTTGTGTTTGGTCATGTTTATTGTCATGAGAGATAGGACGTGCTGAATCACAGAGTTGATTGATGGTAAGACTCAGTAAGTCTTTGCTTTTCATTAAATCCAACATACATTCCGATGAATTCCAATGAATCCCATTAAATCCATATAAATCCATTTAAATCCCCTAGAAAATTAGCCTAAAGTCAGCATAAATGATGTGTTTCCAGAACCAGATCCCACCCATTGGTCATTTGGCCGACCTGTCCGATCTTCATGGGATTCTGGCCCCCTGCTGAAGCTGCTGGAAACGATCTATCCATAGCTTACCGGAGGGTAAATATATATATATATGTGTGTGTAGCGTTGTAAAAATTGACTCAGAATTGTATTAGTACCATTATGTACCACAATTTTGCCTCGTGTCTATCATTTCCGCTGCCGACGATATGAACTCGGGTATTTTCAGTGGCTGTATGATGAAGCACCTATGTTCTGTCCTCACACTGCCTATCCCTGTTTGTTTAGTGGGCGTATTCCCTTTCATAGCCATTCCACATGCCGGAAATGCTATACTCAATGGTCATTTCAGGATCCTAAATCGGAGGTACCTGCCATTTTTCTAAGGCCTAAATTTCAGGGGATATGCCCCCGAAATATGGCCTCAAAAATGCTACGGTACGTTGACGGTACCTCCATGAAATCGAATCCTGAAGATCTCCCATTGCTATATCCCATATGCTCCATGTATGGAATATTTACCAACATTTACCCTAAAAAACACCCAAATGTAGGTAAATATACCATATATGGAGCATCTGGGTATAAGGTGCCATTGGTGTCCCCGTCGACGGCCAGGAAGCCTTAGACGAAAAGGCGAATCGCTGCGAGACGGCAACCAAGCAGAGCCTGGAAAGTCTGCAGCAGGATGCGACTACCGCGATGCGGGACTCGACTTACGAAAAAACACAAAGTGGCTGAAGCCCCGCCCAAAAAAAAGGGACATACCCGGCCTGGTCAACCTTTACATTAAACTATGGAAAATCACCATGCTATCAATGGGTATTTCTATGGGATTACAGTATATATACATTCTATAAATGGAAAATCACCAGCTTATTTCTATACCCTCTGGTAAAGGTTTACATAACGAACTGGAAAATCACCAACTATTTTATGGGTGAATCCACTATTTTATGGGTAAATCCACTATTTCTATGAACATTTTCAATAGTTGTTTACATATATTTACCAGAGGGTAAGAGGAACATTGCAAACGAGATGGTGATTGGGATGTGAGGTGGCCCGCAGATATAAGTTGCTTTATAAAGCCAATTATTAACTATTAGGATACTCTACTTGGTGGCTCATCCCACTTAGTAAGTGGGTTATAACCCCAGTTATAAGTGGATTAACCCTACTTATCCCATTTATAGCTCCGGTTATAACCCACTTACTAAGCGGGATGAGCCACCAAGTAGGTATCATTGCCATGAAGCATACTTTTTGGAGTTCTGTTCACAACTTCGCTATCCTTTGGGCCAACTTCTGGAAGTTGCGGTCAGGATGTGCCTTCCCGCGCAGCCATCATCGTACTGAACCGTGCCCTGCAAACGAAGGCACAGCCGGCGCCTGCGAGGCTTCCGTGGTCAGAGGTTTTGGTAAGTGAAGTATATACCAATAACATCCAATAACATCCAAGGGGATTTAAGCCATACTTTTAAGATGTTATAAGATATTATGAATCTCAGCAGAACTAGATAACTAGATAACAAGCAGCTTAGCAGAACTATGTAGACGATAATCAATTAGCTTATTCTGGCAACGGCTATGTGGATGAGCCAAGAACATGCAGATGGGATAGCCCCGGTCAGGGAACTCAAGATTACCAGGCTTAGTAGCCACTTGGAATTGATGGGATTTGCGTTAAGCCATGCCAATATCGTGGTTCCGCAGTACCGGTAGTGTAGCATCCACGACATGATACAAGATGAGATGCGATATGAGCAGCTATACCCTTTCCGGTGAATGTTGATTGTTGACCCAAAGCCACATTAAGCTCAAGCCTTGTCTATATCATGACCCTCACAATTCCCAGCAACCATTGGCCACCAAGAAAAGCTGCAAAGGTCCCGCACGCCCAGGCCAACCAAGAGGAAGTTGCCACGAAGGAAGAGTTGCAGGCGATGGGGCTGGGAAGTCTTTCATTCTTATGAGTGGTCACTACACAGACATTGGAGGTTCATTAGACCCTTCAAAATTCTCCGTGATTTGGGGGTGAAAGGGTGAAAGTGACCGTTGCCCTGAGACTCCAAACAATAAGATGCAGATTTACTGAGACCCTGAGACCCTTGATTTTTGATGGGGCCAGGGTCTGACGGAGGGGTCAAATTGCAGACCTGATGCTGCAGGATCAATACAGACCTGAGCTGCAGGGTCGTAACATCGAGTTATGAGTTTTCTTATATATATATAATCCATTATAATCCCTATTAATTATTAACCAGTTCCATTAAGTTAGCCTACTTACCCTACTTACTCTGCTTACAACTGGGGTTATAATCCACTTATTCCAAGTTTTTTCCAACTTATAGGTAAGTCAATTATTCCTTATTGCTATCACTTGTTTTCAAAAGTAGGTATCACTTACATGCTGATTATTGTTTGGAAGTGCAGTTCCAGGTATAAGTGGATATATAACCAAAGTTACATGGGGTATATCCCAACTTATGTTTTTTTTTTGTTCGCCATTGTTATATCCATTTGTAACTTCAGCTGCACCGCCCAAGTACAACAATAGTTCACTTGATTGGCAAGAAGGGTTTTCACCCAGGTTTTCATAACACATAATTTAGTTGGTAGTAAACAAACATAACTGTAACTGTACCTACTTGTTCGTATCCACCTTCTAACAATAATCCACTTGTTAGTACAACTAGCTAATTTTGATTAATTTTGGTAAGTTATTATGATGAAATGCTGACAAGTGGATTTAATCATATTTATTTAATCATCATTGGCATGGTATTTGCACACGTGTATTTGCTTTCAAAAATAGTGCAATGATATACATATTCATTTTGGCAATGATAAAATATGATGTTTCATGTATTGAAATACTAATTTTGGTAAATTATTATGCTGAAATGCTGACTTCAGTAGGTAATTGCTTTCAAGTTATGGTCTTTGTACAACTTCCAGGCCTTGGTGTCCAGCCTCAAGGGCAAGGCAGACGTGACTTCGGTGCCCAACTGGAAGGACGAGTTCCTGCTATGGCGTTGATGGCGTTGATGGGTTAGATCTGGGGTGTAGGAATCTCCAAAAAGAAACAATAGGAACATGATAAATTATAGGATCTCGAGTGTGGTACATGTTTGTTGACTGTTCTATTTTGTTGGGTGGATTTGGCTTGTAGCAAGTCAAAATAAAAATAAAAAGCACAATTTGGCACTAAACTTGAGCGGGAATTCACTGTTCTAAATGTGTTTGGGAGGTGCTTCATAGTCAACGCCGCATTAGTGTTGACCCTGGTTGATTTTTTAGGGGCCATTTGCTTTTAAAATGGTACAGTACGCCGAAGCATACGAACAAACCAGGGGTTATGTATGAATAATCCGGAATAATTCGGGCTCAGCATGATATGTGAATCTGATTGATGGTTTGGAACATGTTTTATTTTCCATAATATATGGGATAATCCTTCCCATTGACTAATATTTTTCCGATGGGTTGAAACCACCAACCAGTGAATGTTTGCAATACCTTACACTCCACAAACCAGGAATTTTGCTATAAGCGAAAAAATCTGATGGACACGAAGGATTTGGGCACGGGGCCTCCACCCTGAGTTATCCTCCGGTCATGGCAATGGAAAATCTCCAACATCTGAATTTTCCCAGCTATAAACATATCAAATTTCCATGTTTGTGGATCTTAAACATATCAAATTTCCATATGTGGATCTAAATTTATAGATCTTAAGTGGAGATTTAATAGATAACCATAGATAACCTCCTTCATTTTGTGGATCTTAAATTTCCATGTGGTTGATTCCGAGAGAGTATCCACCAGGGAGGATGCAGGTCATATAGCATTCATTTAACTTTGACTTGTTTTAAAACATAAATTCACTTCTATTGATTAAAACATGTTATAGTTATATAGGCGAACAAGGCTTTATGTTGGATATATATATATATAGTATAATTATATATATATATATCATAGTTATAGTTATATATATATTATTGTTATTATGATTGTTAATATTAATATTATTACTATCTATATATATATATTACTTCTAGTAGTCTACAGTTCTAACTTCGAAGTGAGTTCCAAGTGGATCCAACAGGCAATCCTTGACGTCCCAACTCCAGGACTTCCATCATTTGCGTGATCGCGTGCAGAGGAAAGCGGATCGTGGCCCGGTGAAAAAGCCACGGTGATTGCCGCCGAAAGATGCTGCCCACATGTTCAATGTATGTTGATAGTCTGTTTATGGTATGTTTATGTCTACCTGACATGTGGGTGATGCTTGGGGAAATCTGTGGAATTCTTCCATGCATGGAGCATATAGCTTGGGGAAGGCCTCAAACGCGCCCTTGAATCTGTTTCGGGAATGCTTGGGATGTATAAATTATCCAGAAACATGGTTCATCTAGAATCTAGTTGTCTAGTTGATTCATTTTTTCTCCAAGAAAGAAAAGCACCAAAGTGGCCAAAGTCGCAGCAAATATACCATGGATGGTACCGCTGGTATGAGTAAAATTCCAACTACCATGGATTAGATGGAGTTTTGGTAACGTACACATGTTTTGCACGCTCGATCTAATTCACATGTTTGAGAAGCTCAGACATGTGACATATGTGGTCGATATTGCATAAACAGTATATATATATATATACATATGATATTCATTATGACCAAACCATGTCTTTTTCTCGACAGACCTGTACTTCTTGTAGACTTGTTCTTCACAAGGAGGCAGGGATAGAGACGAAGGAACTCCGGACGACAAGAATGACCCCCTGAGTGGTGCCATTACAATTTCTCCCCATGTTTTTTATTTCCCATCTCCCCATTTTCTCCATGCCCAAGAACCACTAGATGCCATCCACACAGGTGATGGAGTGCCAAGCTTGGCGCAGTTCCAATCAATGAACTCTACCCTGGCCAAGTTGGTGGAAGGCCAGTGGTCGCTACAAATTGAGTTCCCCAAGCACATGATAGTGGCCCAAGTGGATTTGAAAGCAACTTGTTTTCGGGGAATACCATAGTTACCCTCTGGTAAATTTTGACATAACTATTGAAAGATCCACAATTTTTAATGGGAAAACTCACTATAAACAGCCATCTTCAATAGCTCTGTAACAAATTCCCAGAGGGTAATGGACTTGCTGACTAAAATCATCGTTGAGTCACTCAGTGGGATGATCCTCCAATCTCTCGGAGCTCGTTGAGTTACCCCTCCAGCAAATTTCCCAAACAGTGGGATACCCTTTGGTAAACTAACATAGCTATTGAAAATGGCAATTTATAGTGAGTTTTCCCAATAAAAATGGTCATTTTCCATAGTTATGTTAGTTTACCAGAGGGTAACCCTGAGGGTTTCCACTGACTTGGAAAATTATCTAAAAATGCTGGGCTCATATATCTACGTTAATTAACTGGAGAGCAACGGGTGAGATGTTTTGAGCCCATCAATCACCAGAAATCAATGGGTGAATATGGGTGGCTTGTTTGATGAGCAGACCACGTGACATGTATGCACTATATATATATGTTTGAAAAACAAAGCTTAACTGGTTGGTGGTTTGGAACATTTTCTTTTTTTTTCCATTCAGTTGGGAATTTCATCATCACTGACGAGCTGTCATATTTTTCAGAGGGGTAGGCTCAAGCACCAACCAGATTATTATTAGCCATCACTAACCATCATCATTAACCATCATCATTAATTAACAGTATATTAACCATTATTAACCATCATTAACCATCATTAACCATTGTTATTAACCATCATTAACCATTATTAACCATTGTTAAGCCATGATTGGTTCATGGTTGCTGTTGAGAAACAAACGTGCGCTGTTGGTGAATCCTTGGTGAACCCCACGTGAACCAGGAAGTAGATCGAGTTTTTTTTGTACCAGTTAGTGATAGTTGGATCAAGAATTACCCTTTGGTAATTGCTTACAGTTTGCGAACTTGAAAATGGCCATTGAAATAGTGAGTTTACCCATTAAAAACGGTGGATCTTTCCATAGTTACGTAAACGTTTACCAGAGGTTAGTTATAGTTGGATCAAGAGTTATTTGATTAGCCATCATCAGACATGATTAAGTTTAGTTACAGTAGATTCTGTAATAGTTTTATCATGTTGTCAAGATTTAATAATGAGTTAGTTAGTTTGTCATGATATCCAATGATATCCAATGTAGTTATATCCTGTGATAATAAAGCTGTGATAGTGATTGATTATATATACGTATCCAATATTATAACATAATATATCCAACACATATTATCCACATATACCAAGCTATTGACTGTACCATGAAACTTGACTGGTTGGTGGTTTGGAATTTTTTTTCTTTTCCATAATAATATATAGGATAATCCTTCCCATTGACGAACTCATATTTTTCAAGATGGGCACATTGCACCACCAACCAGATAGGGTTATAAGATGTTATAAGTATTATAAGGGTATGGGTCAAAATTAGGTACCCCAATAATTGGATGGTTAATACTAAACTAGACTAACATCTGTGGTCCCCTAGGTCTTCCATTTTGACCCACATCCATAAGTTGTAACTGACTTATAACTGAGTAAGGGCTTATAACTGTCTTTCCCCAGACTTTGACCAGGTGATTCGACGCCGGGCACCCTGAAGCGCCGTCGCTCCCCGGATCCGCGCCTTGGAGGAGGATTCGGCGAGCTGCGATCCACGGGTTGGTGAGTTCGGGGATTATACTACCCTTTATTAGTGTATGGGAAATGTATGGGAAAATTTATGGGAAATTTATGGGAAAATTATGGGAAATTTATGGGAAAATTATGGATTTCACATATCATATTTATTCATAGGATTTATATCTGACTATATACCCATAGGATCCATGGTGCTGGTATATAGCATACATGGATCCTATGGGTTAGTTTATGGGAAAGTCATTATGGGAAAATGATGTTTAGGAAGGAGAAACATCCCCAAATAGCCGAACTAGTCAGTCATTTAACAGTTTGCGAACTTGAAAATACACTGATAGAAATAGTTGATTTACCTATTCAAAATGGTGATTTACCTTTATCTACCTGGCTATATTTGGGATTATAATATATTATAATAGTCCAATAGAGGAATCCCTATTAACCAACCAAGATTATAATATATTATAATATATCTACCTTATATACTGGGGATTAATATATATTGTAATAATCCAAGTAATGCAAGAACGGGGAATCCCTTTTTTTACTTATTAACCAACCCTGCTTAATGATGTGTGGCACCAATTTTTAAGTAGGATTGTCGTGCTGTTCTACCTTTTTTTGGGTGCTACAATGAAAGTCCAGATTATTTTTGTTGACCCTTTTTTATTTCTTATCCAAACCAGAATGACGATCCCAGTTCAATACATTATATACATATGTAAGATGTATGCATAATTATTCACATGTATTTTAAGGCTTGACATTGTTCCATCATAGCCTTGAGGATGATCTCAACCCAATTCAGAGCCAATCAAAAAGTGAGTCGATGGGAGAGCTAGATGATGTTTCCCCCTTGATTTTCCCCAGTTTCTGTTCAAAAACCATCTCTGATTGGTGGTTAACGGAACCATGGAATGGATTATGACTTTCCATTATATTGGGAATGGAAAATCATCCCAACTGACGAGTTGTCATATTTTTCAGAGGGGTAGGTTGAAACCACCAACCAGATCTTGGTTGCAAACAAATCAGATCTACTTATCGTTCTTAAGTTCTTAACTATTTTGAGGTTGCAGCGTCTATTTTTCTTAAGCTCTCCATCTCCCAAAAGCAAGGCATGTGGCCTCTCCAGGCTGGACCGGTCACGGTGATGCTATGGCCATAAATGGTCCTGAAATATCTCAAAGGTTGCCAATAAGGATTGATGTTTAAATCCCCATTATAGCCCAGGATCATCCAACATACCCCTTGGATGATCCAAATATATCTCAAAATCATACAGCGAACAGCTTTTCAAGTCACAAGGTGACCAAGAGCAAGTGGGTGTGTCACAGGATGAACGGTGGATTGTTTGTCCTAGGTCAGCCAATTCTTGGAAGTATTCACGTGGATGCAAGACGTGTGTACAACTCACCACAACTGACTGGTAAATCAGGAGTAAGCAGCTTTGTCTCCAACACTAGCTATAGCTAGTTCCCCCCACTTGGACAGGTCATGATCCCTATCAGCGGATTATGATCATACTGTAGCCATTTATTCTGGACCATTTGGTTGTTTACCCAGAGATTCCAACATTGAGTTGGCAGATGTATAGTTTATAATTACTGTAAGTCAAAAATCCATTTCAATCTGCCAGACATTGGAAGGAATCTCACATTGCAACCACCTGCCGCCAGTTCGTGCGCCTTCCACACCAGCCCGGGCTGCCACAACCCCCGCGCAGACGCCTGCGCCGCAGACGCCTCGCCCCTGCCCCGGCACCCCGCGGCCGCTGACGGCGCCGGCACAGCCGACGTCGCCAGTGGTGCCGGCACCCAGCACCCCGAAGCCACAGTCGCTGACGCCGTTTGCGCCGCGGAAAGCGGCCAAGAAGAGCGACACGCCAACCGTGGAGGTCCAACAGGTGAGTAATTTGGGGTGGGAAAAGTGGATGGAATGGGATCATGCTCTGGACTCTAAAAACTGTTTCGCTGTGTTGATTTACAAGTTGAGAGATAGCCATGGTAGATGGGATGAGGTACTGGAGGCTGGCAAAGGGGGATACATATCCAATTTCACCTTCCTCAAGTAACCCCTTTTTTTTCCGATGAAAGAAAGATCGCAGGGAGAGTGAATGTCATACAAGAGTGTGGCAGCTCAGCTTGCTTTGGGTATGGATCAGCAACTTAAGATCCAAATCTTGCAGTTTTTGTGATGTGGTCATAGACATAGTTATCTAAGCATCCACTTTTCAAAGCTGCCAAGAGTGAGGCTTGGTTTAGCTTAGATACTCAACAGATCATGGGTTGTATTTAAAAAAATCAATCAACATATCCCCAACTAAGTCAGTTGAAACCCCAACTGAGTCAGTTGAACGGATTTGAAACCTGCAAACAGCTGCAAACATCTGAGATCAATATAATTTAACCAACCAGGTATGCTCATGATGATGACCATAACCACAATGGTTTCGTATCACACGTCATGCGCGGTGCAGGTGGCCACACCCGCCCGAGCCGCTTCGGTGGAGGCAAAGGAGAAGGTCACCAAGGAGGAGCCGGGGAAATCTGGCGAACGGAGGTGGGACCCTCTACTTAGATATCTTTGGTTTCTAAGTAGCTTAACTGGGGCTTGTGGTAGATATATGATATAGTTGTTTAGGGTTATAAATACCAACTGCCAACTTACAACTGGGGGGGCTCACCTTGTAATTGTATATATATATATATGGTATCCAATGTGTGCCCGTAGCAAAACCACATACTATTAGGTATAAACCATATTCTGAAACCAGAAAGATTATGAATATATTCCATTTAGAAGATAGGACAATGATTCACCACCTATTTTGATATGATTTGATTGCATTTTACTTGATGGATATACCAAGAGCCTCAATGTACCCGCGCCAGTACTTCACCCCCAAATGGTGGTGTTTTTTCTTTTTGGATACTGTGAGAGTCATGGTAGGGGTGCCAAAAAAGGTATTCTCCTGTCAATGTCTCTCCATTTCATTCCTACTATTTTGATAGGCATGTTTTGTTTCTTTCTACCTTCCTTGAGATAGCTGTATTATGCATTTTCTTGGCAGCTGTCAGCACCTTACAAAAAATGAGATGTTAACACCTTAATTTGAGATGCAACCAACGCTACACAGCTAAGTTCCTGATTTTGAACGTGTGGCTTTTGCATCTCTCTTTTTAGCTGATTTGACAAATGGGTTGGATGGAAAGTTGACATTACCCATAAATAAATCTTGTGTAATACTAGTCTTCCTTCATTGCATTCCAATGTTTGTTTCATGGTGCCGACAAATCCGAACACTGAGCGGCAAAGCCCTTCCGAGATGCAGGGCTTTTCCAGGGTCATCTCCGGGAACATGCCAATAAAAAAATGTAATTAGTCACTGGTAGCGTCAACCAGACTTGTTCATGATGCAATTGTTTGCAACATATAGTTAAAAAAAGTATAGTTTGAATATGTTTGAATAATAAGAGCCAATCTCTGAACTTTAGATATCCCCTTAGAGACCTGGTTAGATGGGATATTATTCTCAGAATAGATATTCAAAATTATTCAAAATCAAGGGTTCAAAGGGGATCATTGTTCATAGATACATAGATACATAGATACAGTAATATAAATACATTACTAGATAATAGATACACTGTAATTAATAGATACATAGATACATAGATCTAATCTGGTTGGCGGTTTGGAACATGGCTTTTATTTTTCCATTCAGTTGGGAATGTCATCATCCCAACTGACTTTCATATTTTTCAGAGGGATTGAAACCACCAACCAGCTAAGTAACTAAGTATGATAATCAATGGGATTAAACCATCAATTAAACCATACTATCACCATATATAGGGTAGGTTGAAACCACCAACCAGATATATGACTTCCCCACACTGAACTGTTCATCGTTTTCACCAGTTACCAAGAAATGACTACGTCGCCGCGTCATCATTTTCAGAGGGGTAGGCTCAAGCACCAACCAGTAATTATTATTAGCCATCATTAACCATCATCATTAACCATCATCATTAACCATCATCATTAACCATCATCATTAACCATCATCATTAACAGTATATTAACCATTATTAACCATTGTTAAGCCATGATTAATACCCTCTGGTAAACTAACATAGCTATTGAAAATGACAATTTATAGTGGATTTACCCATTGAAAATGGTGATTTTCCATAGTTATGTTAGTTTACCAGAGGGTAGATACTATGAGTCAACCTCTGAAAGATCCCCTTGGACGGACGACATCGGTCAGGCGACGACACCGGCCCGTCCTCGTGGGCGTCCTCGAAAGGATCGAGGTGAGGAGGCGACGACACCGGCCCGAAAGGCCCGGCTTGGGATGGGCGGCTGAGGTCAAAAAATCCACTGCGAAGTCACTGCGAACTGGAAAATCACCATGTTTTTGACAAAAATCACAATGTTTTTGAGGAAAATCACCATGCTTTTGAGGAAAATCACCATGTGTTTGAAGAAAATCACCATGTTTTTGAGGAAACATGTTTTTGAGGAAAATCACCATGTTTTTGAGGAAAATCACCATGTTTTTGAGGAACATCACCATGTTTTTGAGGAAAATCACCATGTTTTGGAGGAAAATCACAATGTTTTTGAGGAACATCACCATGTTTTTGAGGAAAATCACCATGTTTTTGAGGAACATCACCATGTTTTTGAGGAAAATCACCATGTTTTTGAGGAAAATCACAATGTTTTTGAGGAACATCACCATGTTTTTGGGGAAAATCACCATGTTTTTGAGGAACATCACCATGTTTTTGAGGAAAATCACAATGTTTTTGAGGAACATCACCATGTTTTTTGGGAAAATCACCATGTTTTTGAGGAAAATCACCATGTTTTTGAGGAAAATCACCATGTTTTTGAGGAAAATCACAATGTTTTTGAGGAACATCACCATGTTTTTGAGGAACATCACCATGTTTTTGAGGAACATCACCATGTTTTTGAGGAAAATCACCATGTTTTTGGGGAAAATCACCATGTTTTTGAGTAAGTCACTCAACTATCAAAATATCTTTTGAATTTTCCAGTTCGCAAACGGCGTGAAATTACACGAGGGTATGTGATAATCTTTGTGGTTGATTTGCTTAACTTGGAGAAAAAAGAACATGTCATATATATATGTACAATGGACAATGGAAGTATATATTATATATGTAAATTTTGAAGATGATACGAGTAGACCAGTTCTGAGATGAAGGGGTTGTTTGGAAGAATATCTAAGATTCGAGACTGGTAGGTTGATTTTTAGGAAGGACCACCTTCACAAAAAGCATTTGGAGCTCTCCGGTTGCCAGCAAAGTGACGTCCCCAACGTTCTGTTCTGGATTTTTCAAGCATCTCCTTCAGATGTTTCCTGCATATTCCTGAGTAACCTTGGTAAAAATATCTCTGAATTGGCTGAATGTTGTTATCTTTAGCAGTGTGTTGCAATGTGATGCTTTGAGCGCACAAAAATATCCAGTGTAAGGTACCTTGCAGTGTCGTTGCCAGGCCCAGGTGGGGCATCCGAAACCTCATTCCAGAGTTCCCAAGGTCAAGGCGGGTCCACCAGTGGGATATGGCCACATCGGGTTGACTGGACTTGTTGGTTGAGTTTTTTTCATTGGGATTTCCTGGTGAAGGGATCATTTGAATCTACCCAGGGAATACGGAGATCTCTTGGGTTGGTTATTGACCTGATGAGACATTGTACGTAGCATTCATGTGGTAAACCCAATACCATGAACCATCCCCAATGGAAGTTTATGAAATTGGATATATATATATATATACACCTCCTTCTGACTGGAAGAATGCAAAATCGACCCCCTAGTCATTGTTGGTGAATGGGATAGTTTATTATTGGGCTTACCACATCACCACAATAGAACTAATTAATTAATGAATTCCATGATATTTTTTTCGGCACTGTCTCTTTGTCTTACAATATTTCTAAAAAAAAAAGCTAGAAGCATCGATTGTTTGCAAGTTTGTTTTAATATTCCTGGTGGACTCAAAAAATCATTGGTTTCAGTTGCTGGCATTTGGGGGGTGCACATTGGTTGAATACGCATGGGTGTTGTTTAGGGGCCACGTCTTGTTGTCTTTTTGCTGTATATAGCAAAGTTTAGTTTCGCTCTCTCCCTCTCTCTCCCTGGTTCACATACCCATCCCCGATTGAACCATTTCGTTGATTTATGCCTCTTGTTTGTAGCATGTATGTCAAAATGTGTACATATATATATATATATATATATACATATTATTATTATTTTTTTTTTTATTGTTATTATTATATACATATATATAATAAATATATTGTTTATATTTACATATTATAATATTATGTGTATATACTGTGTATATATATATATACACATTATATAATATATAATGCATTCAACTGGCACCGCATCGCCACCAAGCTGGGCAGTCCGGCGCCAAGAAGGGCGAATCCATGGTGTGGAGCACGTGACTTGGCCTTTTTTTTGGCCTTGGCCAAAGCACAGCTGGGCTGGTGCGGAAATGGGCATAATATGGAGGTTTAATGGGATGTTTTAGATCATATGGTTTACCCTCTGGTAAACCTACAAAAAGCTATTGAACATGGCCATTTATAGAGAGTTTTCCCATTAAAAATGGTGATTTTCCATAGCTTTTTGTAAGTTTACCAGAGGGTAATGGTTTTATTTAGAATATGTTCTACCAATGTTGAATTTTCTGTTGCGGTTACATGAGCATTTTTTCACATGTTCCACTGGAAGAGATGTGGGAGAAATGGGATGAATCATCTCCAATATTGGTGGTTTCAGAGGGGTAGGCTCAATCACCAACCAGCTAAGTAACTAGTCGTATGATAATCAACGGGATTAAACCATGAAAATAAAACCATACAATCACCATATATATAGGGTAGGTTGAAACCACCACCAACCAGATGATCATGATTTGGTGCCAGAAACTATATATCTCCAATGTAACCATATATTAATCATATATATATATATTAACCATATATTAACAGTATATTAACATATATTAACCACAATGGTAGGTAGATCTAATTAATAACCATCATCATTAACCATCATCATTTAACCATCATGATTAACCATCATCATTAACAGTATATTAACCATATATTAACAGTATATTAACATATATTAACCACAATGGTAGGTAGATCTAATTAATGACCATCATCATTAACCATCATCATTAACGGTATATTAACCATATATTAACAGTATATTAACATATATTAACCACAATGGTAGGTAGATCTAATTAATAACCATCATCATTAACCATCATCATTAACCATCATCATTAACCATCATCATTAACCATCATCATTAACCATCATCATTAACGGTATATCAACCATATATTAACAGTATATTAACATATATTAACCACAATGGTAGGTAGATCTAATTAATAACCATCATCATTAACCATCATCATTAACCATCATGATTAACCATCATCATTAACCATCATCATTAACCATCATCATTAACGGTATATTAACCATATATTAACAGTATATTAACATATATTAACCACAATGGTAGGTAGATCTAATTAATAACCATCATCATTAACCATCATCCTTAACCATCATCATTAACCATCATCATTAACAGTATATTAACCATATATTAACAGTATATTAACCACAATGGTAGGTAGATCTAATCAATAACCATCATCATTAACCATCATCATTAACCATCATCATTAACCATCATCATTAACCATCATCATTAACGGTATATCAACCATATATTAACAGTATATTAACATATATTAACCACAATGGTAGGTAGATCTAATTAATAACCATCATCATTAACAGTATACTAACCATATATTAACAGTATATTAACAGTATATTAACAGTATATTAACCACAATGGTAGGTAGATCTAATTAATAACCATCATCATTAACCATCATCAACCATCATCATACCATCATCATTAACAGTATATTAACCATATATTAACAGTATATTAACAGTATATTAACCACATGGTAGGTAGATCTAATTAAATAACCATCATATTAACAGTATACTAACCATAATTAACAGGTAGTATATTAACTAGATTAATTAACCATCATCCCATTAACCCATCATATATTAACAGTTATTACCATCATCATTCATTTAACCATCAAATCATTAACATATATTAACAGTAATATTAACCATATTATATACAGTATATTAACCACAATGGTAGGTAGATCTAATTAATAACCATCATCATTAACCATCATAAATCATCATTAACCATCATCATTAACCATCATCATTAACAGTATATTAACCATATATTAACAGTATATTAACAGTATATTAACCACAATGGTAGGTAGATCTAATTAATAACCATCATCATTAACCATCATCATTAACCATCATCATTAACCATCATCATTAACCATCATCATTAACCATCATCATTAACCAGTATATAGACCATATATTAACAGTATATTAACCGTATATTAACCACAATGGTAGGTAGATCTAGTTAATAACCATCATCATTAACCATCATCATTAACCATCATCATTAACCATCATCATTAACCATCATCATTAACAGTATATTAACCATATATTAACAGTATATTATCAGTATATTAACCACAATGGTAGGTAGATCTAGTTAATAACCATCATCATTAACCATCATCATTAACAGTATATATATTAACCATTATGAACCATTGTTAAGACATGATTGGTTCATGGTTGCTTCATGTTGGTTATGTAACAGTTGGTGAACGGTTTCACCCACGTGACCACGTGTGACGCCGCAACGCCCCAGGAGCCTCGGCAATTGGGTGGAGCCTTGAGGACCAACGTTGACACGACCCCACTTACCCGGGTAAAGATAGGTCAGTTAATGGTGGTTAATAGTGGTTAATATTGGTTCATGGTGGTTAATAGTTAATAGTTAAACAGTACTTACCAACAAACAGGACTATTAATAGTGGTTAATAGTGGTCAATATGGGGGGAAATCCTACTAACAAACAGGATTAATGTTGTTTTTTTACTGTTTTTTTTTTGCCAGAAATGGAGGGAATATCCAGTTGAAAGTCAGGATAGTAAATTAAAGTGGGTACAAATACAGAAATAAAGTAGTAGATACTACCCTCTGGTAAACTTACAAAAAGCTATGGAAAGATCCACCATATTCAATGGGTAATTCCACTATAAATGGTCATTTTCAATAGCTATGTAACAAATTACCAGAGGGTAAACATCTTGATTTGTCCGAAACTTTCAATTTAAACTTAGACCGTTCTTCTATGTTTGTCTACTTTGTGACTCCTTGAATCAATGACTGTAGCGGATTTTCTGGATTTCGTTCTAGACTTTGGCAAAACCCAACTCCTTTTTGGCCGCATTTCGATTCAATCCATGAAGCTTCTCCCTTGCTTGAAATCCTCGGGCCCTGCTATCATCTTAAGCAAGTCTCCTGGTCCATGAGATTATCCTATATTGGTCCTATATTATCCTAAATTTAAGTCATTTCGGACCCATTGAGCCGGCTCAATGCTTGGAACCCTGTCTTTAAATGATGCTTTACTAGTTTTTTCGAATCCGAAAACATCCAGCAGCTACCCAGGGATAGCCACGGGCATAGCCTAGCTTAGCCACGGCCGCCACCATGGCTATGCCCCGTTCATGGCCTCTTAGCATCGGCAGGACATCGTCGGACACCTTGGGCAATCTTTGAGAGTGCCTGGTGTTCCAGGACTCATGGAGGACGTTGGCATAGCAGCATAGCATGGCATAGCCATGGTACATGGTACCGGAGATGACGATTGGGCGTCAGCTCTGATGGCTTAAGCCGGCTGGCAGTGAACAGAAAACTGTTTGGTGGTTTGGAACATTGTTTATTTTCCATAGTATATGGGATGTCATCCTTCCCATTGACGAACTCCATCCGAACTCCATCATTTTTCAAGATGGGCACATTGCACCACCAACCAGGAAAAAGAGACGTGTCCGCATGCCCGAATTTTTGGCAAAGGGAAACGCAATCCGGATTCGTGGCGCCATTGAGTTGCTGTGCGGGAATTGATTGGTGTTTTGCTGGAAAATCGTGAGTTTATCTGGAGGATTTGTCAGCCACTTTTGATTGCCAGAGGGTACGTATCAAAAATAGGGAAATAGATGAACAATCATTTATTTTAATATTTAATAATATTTAATCATATCATATTTGATCATATTTAATCATATGCAATAATTATCATCTCCATTGAAATAGATAAACACTGTTTATATCTATTTATGGATCCAACATCTCATCGTTTAACTTCAATATAATCCTTGCGAATCTCCTGAGAGAGATGGATCATAAAAATCAGAAAGATGTTTCCCCAAAAAAAGATGTGTAGACTTATGAGTCAAGACGTCTATGTCTGTAACATACTATAAAACGAGCTTTACATTTCTTGACTTATCTTGACTTGACGGTCCATAATTGGATTCCAAATTGGATTGAATTCTTCACGCACAGACTCCAATAGTTACAGTTTGAACTCTTCCCCCACGGATTACTGTACCACTTACAATGTGGGCCCCAGTTATAAGTTGGTTTATAAACCCCATTAACTAGTTCGTTATAAGTACAATAAACCATAGTTTTTGGAGTTAACCAACTGAACGCTATCGTCAACGGCCCCACATCGGATTTCTTCCAGTTGCCGCAACCCCTTTGTAAACCGCCGTGGACACCGTGGTCCGGTCTCATGGTTAGAAGAAATTCATGTTGCAAAACAAAAACGATGCACAAAAGATGCTTGGAAGAAGTACATGTTTTGAATCTATAAGTCGACATAATGTGATGGGTACACTCACTCGCTCTTTTCACACGACTCTTCGGTGAACAAACGCCGGACCGACACAACACTTCGGCCTCCGTGGCTGTGCTCGCGAAAGTTCTTTCGAGACGGCATCCGTGTGGTGAGAACGTGGATCGCGTTGTTAAGGGAAGACACCAACGGAAAAGCCGAGTTGTCCTAGTTTTTATACCCAGATGCTCCATGTATGGTATATTTACCTACATTTGGATCATTTATGGGGTAAATGTTGGTACAGTAAATATTCCAATGGAGCATATGGGATACATTGTCGTGTTCAAATGTGAGAGCTATGTTCAAAAGCACCTCTTGACATCGAATAATATTGAAGATCATCTTGAAGGAATCCGAGAATCTGGCTTGGCCCAGAGCCACAAAAGGAACTCCCAGAAAGATCCAGAAAGCTTATCTTAAGGGTGGCACATCGGGTCCATCCCGGGTCCGTTGTGGAAAGCGAAGGAGGCCACAATCGTTTGACCTCACCTTGCCAAGGAGGCCACAATCGTTGCGACTCATTTCCTTTGCGACTGATTTGCTTTCACTATGACTCAGTCTTGGTCATTTTGGTATATTTTGGTCACATTATCCTCACATTATCCTCACATTATCCCCACATTATCCCCACATTATCCTCTTTATGATCTTTATGATCTTGATGGCTCTGGAATCAATCTCTGACAAAATCTAAAGGCCAACAAATTGACATGCTATTTTGGTCTTCACAGAGTGAACGGACCCATCCCCAGATGATTATGATCCCCGTCCAGTCCTCGCCAAAATGGAGCCGCGCTTGCGGCTTTAGCAGTTCCGGGACGGAGCCGCATCCCGTCTTCAGAAGCTTGTTGACCCCTCCGTTGTGCTGCCGAAGAGTGTAGTATGTAGCAACCCGTGGGTTTGCCTCGAACTCGAGGGCCCATGGTTTTAATATCCATTTGAATCCATTTGATGATGGCACACGTGTTGTTGTTTGACTCCCACGGGAGGAATTTACATTACTGTAGTAGCACCGGGTTTGGCACTGGAGCATATTGGAGCTGGGTCGAACGGCTTATCGCCTGATTGACTTAACTGCCATGAGATTGGGAAATCCTGTACAAAAAGAAACAGCGCCGTGGCACGAAACTTGGTGAGGCAAGGGAAAAAAACAAGGCATCCTGAGGTGCTGAAGAAGGGAATCCACAGTCATGCTCAGTGTGCTAGACATCAATTATGTGGCTTTATGGTTTGAACATGTTTGAAATTTTGATACTTCTCAGGCATTTCCAATATAATACATGTGGCCAACTCATCACCAATTATCACCCGACGTGGGGGTTCCAATTGCTTCAAGCCCTTTAATGGAAAAGCAGATGAGGAAAGAAGCCCTTTTGTCCTGTGTCTAGGACCAATCTTAGATGTTTGGGTATCACACATGTTGATCCTTCAGCTTCTGAGATGGTCAACCCCAGGTCTTTAGTGATGGCGCTGACATTTGACGCGACGCCGAAAAAGAGATGCTGCACTCCATGTGTTTTTTCTGTGTCCGGGTGGGTACCCAAACTTCCACTACCGATGTTTTGATCGGTAAAGGTTCCTGGGCTGAGAGTCCTTGACCGGAGAAATCGGGAGAAATCCATGGCAATGTTTGCAAGTATCTTAGACATGCTTTCTAAAAACCTTGGGCAGTATCATTGGAGTGTATCCAAAATGGCATGACATGGCATGACTGTAAGTGTGTATCATGTGCAAGCGTGTTGCGATATGTACTCTTCTGTACAAAACATCACCCATACTTTGATCAAACGATAACTTGCAATTGTTTTTTGTTTTTTCTGTGACGGCGTTTGATGTGTTCTTGGAAATCGCATAGCATTTAGTGTCAGACATCTTGCATAGTATGTTGGTATCTGATTCTATCTCATTTATACCAGATAGATCAGATAGAGGTCAAACATGTGAACACCATTCAAAACCAATCATCCCAATTGTGGTGAGATTAGGCCACGACTACTTGTATAGATGATGTTTGTTTTCATGTGGATGTGGACCCCCTAAAACACCCGCTGGGTTTGCTTTTTTCTTGGCCACATTTTGGCATATTTTAACAAGATGCGCAACTGGTTGGTGGTTTGGAACATGGCTTTGATTTTTCCATATAGGGAATGTCATCATCCCAACTGACGAACTCATATTTTTATATATTTTTCAGAGTGGTAGGTATACGACCAACCAGACAAGCTTCATCCTACGGAGTAACATGGTATATCACCATTTCCTGTTCGGTTGCTGACCTCAGAAAAAGTCCCCTGCCGGCTGGCCCCTCTAGGTACAGTCCGGGAGCCGCCCGTGCGTCTGCCGAGGCGAGGGGAAGATGGGGAGAACTCTAAATGCTGGGATGGTTGCCCAGATTTTGTGGGTGAAAGCCATCGAAAAGTAGACTTAGACAAACTAAAGCGCATGTCAACCCACCAAAATGTCTCTAGTTGCAAATCGGGTTTGCTAATTTTGGGGATTCAAAATGCGGCTATGCGATGTATAAGCCGCTGGGTTGTAGTCAGACCGATGCAAGGGTTGGGCAATCGATTCCTGTGCAGATGTCATCCCATGATCCATCATTATCCCATTCTATGTGGATTTGGTGCCCAAGTATACCAAACTTGAATAATATGTCAACTCTTGTCGTCACGTTGCCCAATTGTTGGGTTAGATTCGGTTAGATCTCCATTATTTGCTGCTTATCCCAATGTTTTCTTGAGTCTCCGGCTGGTGGTGTATTGAACTTCGTTTGACGCGAGATTTCGGTGAACAACATCCAGTAAGACGTTCGACCGAACTTCATCAGTGTTGTTTCCCGGTCGCGCCTTGATCATGATCTCCATTTGTTTATGGTGTCCATTGGTTTCCCTTGGCTTGTTGACTACCCTCTGGTAATTTAACATATAGCTATTAAAAATGGCCATAGAAATACTGTAGTGAGTTTTCCCATTAAACATGGTGAGG